CTGAGGGCGATGGGATTCCGTTCCGTGCCGGCAGCGCGGGGCAAAACTCCACTGTACGAAGAGAAGATGAAGGTGGTTTCCCGGCTGAACCGCAGCAAAGTTTACCTTCACTCCAAGCTTATTGAGCGGCAGAGGCGGTGGCACTTCCGGCATGCTGATACGGAGCGATTCAACCAGCGACTCCGCAACGGCGCGGGCGGTGGGTCTCTGGATGAGTGTCCGGCCCCGCCACCACTTCAGATCTCGGAACGGAGACGGGTCGTCGAACTGACGTGCGCTGGCACTCAGGAACTGACTGAGGATGAGCAGTTCGCGCGCCGGTGTGCGTGCATCATCGTTTGGTTCAAGCTGCAGCGTCGGAAGGAGGTTCAGCGTCGGGGCCGTCACAAGAAACACCAGCCGTCCCAGCGAGATTTCCAACCTGACCCGCCCCTAGACACCGTGCGGGCGAAAGAATCCATTCCGGCGAAGCTGGGCGATAAGCAGTGCCCATTCTGCGTCGCTGATATCTCGTTGCCTTGGGGGGAGCGGATGAAGGTCCGGGAGCGCACGAACAAGTTCTGGAACCATATCGAGAGCGTCCACCGCGAGGAGCTAAAAGCGTACTCCACCGGACAAAAGCACTGCGGGATCTGCAAAGTACAGGGTGTCACCTTCACTCCACCATCCATCATGGAATTCAAGAGTCATACTCTGAGTGTACACGGTCCCCGTCTGCGCCCATGAGATGCAGATCGCGTCTGCAGAACGTAGCATCCAGAGAACGATACATAAACGTGACTAGTGACTGATTGCTTGAGATAATTCTCCCTTACTGTAGGCTACATCCTTACAGAGTTTGACTGTAATCGTGAAAAGTACGGTCTCGTGAATGAATCCACCACTATTCAGGAAACTGAGTCAAAGCCTTAGGGTCAACTTGCGTGCATGTCTTTCCCTCATAGTAATCTTCGCTTGGTGCTGGTTCTTGTTATCACGACTGGCCCTAATCCATTCTGGGTCAAAATCCTTCCGTCCCAGCTCGTCCTCCATTATACAAAACTGAGGGTCAATGCAGGTGGAGTTACCTCCCTTTATATAGATAGATTCAATTTCTCAATTACACTCGTTTAACTGTACATTCCAAATGGCAAAACTCAACCGTCTGGGTTCTACCTAGTAGCTCTTAATAACACCAGCGATAACCTGGCGACAAGTGGCGCAGGTTTCACCAATGGGGGGAACGCATTTCGGGCAATACCGATGTCCACACAGAAGGGTCCGCCACCCTGACGGGATGGTAAAACAGATCTGGCATCGACATTGATACTTCAGCTCACGGACTTTGGTCTCAAGCTTGTCAACCCGCTCATCCTTCCTAGCCATTTCCGCACGCAGGCGTTGCACTTCTTTCTCCAGCGCCTCTGTCCGCGCATGCTCCGCCTCGAAAATGTTATGGATTTCCTGGTTCGCGGTTTCCTATCCCAATATCAGCCAAGAAGGAGCCTCGCCATGGGCCCTACAGGGAGGAGTCTTACCAATACCGTGTCCAGGTTGGGCATTTTACGTCTTTTCGGTGGCTGCCACATTTCGGAGGGTGCCGGGTCGTCAAATTGAGCCTCATACATTGGGTAGCTGTAGTCTGTGCGGGGTCTCTTTCTTCGCAGCTTTCGCGCCGGGGGCTGGCGTTCATCCATCTCCGAATCTGAACTGATGACGACAGTGTGATGAAGCCCGTCGCGGGGACTATCAGCTGACGCCATGATTGAAAAATGGTGGTGCCCTGGAAAAACAAAGAGGACGGATGAAGAGCACCGCTGGGGGAAAATCGGGCTTTTTATGTTCGCTCAGTCGTCCTCGAGTACGCAAGGGCCTCTCGGTGGTTGGTGTCTCGCGGTGGTGTAGGATGAGAAGTGGAGAAGGAAATGGAAGAGGGACAGATCCACATTCTGGCAGGATGGGTCGAGATAATTAAGGAAGAGGGAGAACGGAAGGACTTGAGGGGGAAACCACGCATATTTATACCTGTAGCGAGAGCACAGCCGCCTCACAATCACAAGACCAGTCACGGCTGGGACAGGGGGTTGGCGGTGACCTGCAGCAATGTCTCCAAGAAGAGAAATGGGAGAACCGCGCCGGGGAAGGAGGCCAAAGGCTCCATCGGCGCCCCCGCAAGCACCCGCGACATCGACCACGGGAACCATAATCTCGATGAGGTTTCCCCTAACGGGTGGGACGATTTCACCGGCGCATTCATCGATACTCGCACCCCGCAGACCTGGGCATTTCCAGGATGATCACCTCCGGCATCACAACGCCTCGATGCAGGTCGCGCCTCAGATATTGCTTCATGTTGGGTGTTTTCGCTTAGAGTAGAGACACCATGGGCTCGAGCACAGAGGCGAAGCCAGGCCCACCTTTTCACTGGCACACATGGTTGGGTGAAGCTCGGCCTTTCTGATGCATGCCACCCCCTTGCTCTTTGTCCCCGGCGCTATCGATTGTAGGAAAGGGTTTGGCGGTTTGTCGATTCGACTTCATGGTGCATGGCCAGGGGGAAAAAGGGGGGTTGGATTAGGTTGACTGGTCGACATTGACTGGACGAGAGCCAGGTTGGCATGGGGGTGTGGCCAGGAGCACGTCTGCGTTGGTCCACCCCATCAATGCAACATCCCCCGGTTCGGCGGCTTCTTCAGTATGGATGATTGGCGATCCATGCAAGATGCATCTCAGCTACTATTTTTCCGTTGATCATGGGACATATAAAGACCTCCAGTGCCTCCTGGATTAAGATCGAGGGGAGAAGAGCACCCCATCATCTCATCTTGCAACATGGCTACCTTCATGTATGATATCACCTCCCCTGGACCTGCCGACAGTTCTCCCTCGCCTCAGCTGCACACAGTGCACCTCCTGGAAGTGTACACTCCTGATCCTCGGTCAAACAAAGAGCCCCAGCACCTCCTTCCAATGCCCATACCTATGCCTGTGCCCCTCTTCTCTGCGTCGGGTGACCTCTTTAAGAATGCAGCAAGTGAGATGTTTGCTGATTTTTTTGCACTGCCATCCACTGTCTCTGGTCTCAATGACATTAGCTGGGACGAATGGATCCTGTTTGACATCTCCTCAGTTGATGTCCCCTTCACTGTCACTTCAACTGTCGGATTTCTCCGACGACCCAATCAAGGAGGCTCACCCAAGCCTGAGCAATGTTGCCAATGACCTACCCAATTGATGAGAGCCAACTCCTCCCCTGGCCTTCAACTATCTAGAAGGCAACACATCGAAGGAGCTGTTGAATTACTCCGATGATTCCATCGAGGCTGACCCACGCCTGGGTGAGAGGAGGGAGACGCTAGATAAGCAGGAAGATATTATCATGCCTCCTTCTCAGGTGAAGATACTGAAGCTGGTGTATAGGTGAGACAGGGATGAGATGTACCAGATAGTAGGACGGATAGATTTACATGAAACACGTAGATATGGCATACAAGGAAAACTGTGAAAGTACTCAGGTTCTGCTGTCAGGCATGCTTCTGCACTGGTTCAGGCGCAGATGTAAGGCTCAGCGCCCGCTCTGTGAAAAACATTTTTCACATGTCCCTCACTCTTGCAGAAGACCCATCATTGATGAGCCAATGAATCCCAACCTGCTTAGCGACTCTAATCTGTTTGTCGCCATTCCACCTTCAATGAAATATAAAGAGGGTTCCCGGGGGTTACGAGGTGTATGCCAAGATGACATTGGACGATTTGCAGGAGCATGGAGGGTTGGAACTGCTGGCAGCTCACTGGAGTAACAATTGTCGTTGAACGAGGTCACGTGTATTATGTCAGCGAGTTGCTTAACGCTAATTGTTTTGTGTAACAATTGAAGGTCTCTTCATTCTCTTCATGATCTTCGTTTTCCTCTTTTGTTTTCTATGTTTGGTTTCTTCATTTCGTTTCACTTTACTTTTTCTTCTTCATTTTATCTATCCTGGCCGGCACACGCATCCAGAACTTGGAAATCCCACTTCGGATACAATCTCCCCAAACCGTATTTCGAGAGAACGCCCAGACCTCTCCCTCGGAATTCTCACGACGCCCGCTTGAAGAACCCACGTTGACCAATTTGGCTGACAAGTCATCGCTTACTTCGAATCACTAAATAACAAGTTCATACGAATTTCTTCAAACATTGTAGTATTAAACATAACACGCGCCACTAAATTACTTAGATATGAAAGCATGCGTTCACCCTCTGTTAAACAATATTCTAGCCATCATGCAATAGAGAATAGCCACCTCTGCCACAAGAAATTCTTAGCATTAACTTTTAGAGAATTGGCTTGCAGATCTTTTTGGCATGCAGACCTTTTTGGCATGTAGATCTTTTTGGCTTGCAGATCTTTTTAGCTTGCAGTTTTGACTTGCATATCTTTTTTGCTTTTGTAATAGTTAATTTAAGCTTGCAGATCATTTTTCATGTGCAGACCCTTTTTCTTTAATTTTAAGCTTGTCAATTTTCAGATGTTTTTACATAGAAAAAGCCATCGGCTGCTTTTGTGAACATATAAGTTCTTATTGCCACCCAAAGCCTTCAGATAAAGTAACTATAAATTTTTTGTTATGTATCAATTTTTTAATTATGGCTGATATCTCTCAACTCTTCACTAAATCTGAATGGACAAGCAGTTATCTCATTCTAACTTAGCCTTTAGTGTTGTCATTGGTTCTGTCTTTCTCTTTGCAGCTGTCAGGGTGTTATTCAGCGTTAGGGCGTACAAATTGGTGTGATGCTGCTGCCCGTGTTGTTCTTTGATTCAGGATCGCACTCGGGCAGATGGATATCAGAAAGTGCCTGTAATGACTGCTAGCGATTTACAAAGAGAATCAGTAGCTAAAAGAGACTAGATGATCCTAACAGGAAGTTAGAAATCACTGCTAAGAGAGCCTGGAGCATCTTTTATAGCAGTTAGAGAGCTAGCTAAAAACAGCAGCGATTTAACTATAAGATTCAATCTATACATTGTGTAAAGATGAGGTCCGCGATCCATGGACCTGTCAGAGTCAGAAACCTCCCCAGGTCAGAAGCCTCCCCAGGTCAGAAGCCTCCCTAAGCCAGAAGCCTCCCTAGGCCAGAAACCTCCCTAGGGAAGCTTCTGCTTTGGGGCCACTACCATCCCTAGGTTCAATACCGTCCCTAGGTCCACTGCCCCCCCTGGGGCCACTGCTTTCCCTAGGTCAGAAGCCTTCCCCAAGTCAAAAACTTCCCCAAGACAGGAGCCTCCTTAGGTCAGAAGCCCATCAACCAACCCCTCTCTCAACAGGCCAGGAAGTTGAACCGACGAACCCCTAACTGCACTGCCCGAACCTCGTGATCACCTTCCCCGCCCTGGGTATATATATATGGGCTCCCTCCCACCTCGGATCCATCTTTCTTTCAATTCCCTTTCCACCTCCCATCCTACACCGGCGACTGAAACCTTCCGCCAAGCCCTCTCTGGAGCTCTTCATCACTCCTCTTTGCTGATCTACGACACAACCACCTTTCCATCTCTTAGCTATGGCGTCAGCCAATAGTTCCCGCACTGTCATCATCATTTCAGACGAGACGGACAAACAGCCCCTGGCACGAGGGACGCAAAGGTCACAAAGAAAGAGAACCTTCACCGACTACAGCTATCCAACCTATGATGGTCTATCTGATGATTTAGTGTCCTCTGATGCTCTGGAGTCCGAAATGGAGCGGCCACTGAAAAAACAAAAAATATCCAACCTGGACACGGTTTTGGTAAGACATTTCCCAGTGAGACTCTCGGGGATTCCTCCTCGCTGATATTGAGATAGGAAACGGCGAATCAGGAAATTCATACCATTTTCGAGGCGGAGCGTGGAAAGAGGAGGAAACTGGAGGAAGAAGTGCAGACGCTGGAAGAAGAAGTGCGGCACCTGCGTGCAGAGATGACTATGAAGGATGAGCTGTTCCGCAACCTTGAGACTAAAACCTGGGAGTTGCAGCATCGATGTCAATGTGAGATCTGCTATAGCATCCCATCGGAGTGGAGAACCCTTCTGCCGTGTGGACACCGGTTTTGTGCAGGATGCCTTCGTCCTCTCATTGGTGATGACTGTCCAAAGTGTCGTAAACATATCACTGGTATCCTCAAGAGCTATTAGGACTAGATAGAAACCTTTTATCCTTTTTCTTAGTTAGAGCGGTAGAAACATCATTGTTAGTCGTGACTTTGTTCTAGTTTTGAGGTTTGCTCTGTGGTATATTTGACAAATATATTAGTAATTCAACTTCTTGTCAACTTATGAGCCAATCAAATGTCAAGTTCAAGTGGAGAAATGAAAAGAAACTTACATTTACAACTGATACCTGCAAAGAAGGCCGGCATAGATCCTCTAACAAGTTCACCCATACAGATTATTATTAGACTTCTTCACGAAGCAGAACCTGTCACATCTTCCTTATTAAATTTGATATTGTCAACTTCTCCTCCTGCCTCCAAAGAACAGAGAGAAGGGAAGGGGGCTCCGCACAGGCGACAAAAGGATGAAGGGGTCGAGGGCAGCGGTTGTCATAGCTTCGGAGAGTCTGTGGTATGCCGACAGCGAACGAGAACGAGAGAAAGACCAAGCGTCGCGCGTAGCGAAATGCCGAGAAATCCTGGGGCCTTTGACAGAGGGTCCTTGGTCGCCACAGGACCACAGAAATCGATTCAATGGCCTCTGCCGTCTACAGCCCAGCACGGCCACAAGTTGGCCCTCTTTGGGCCTACCAGGTCCATGGAACGCGATCCATGGACCCATCAGGCTTATTGTCTCCTGCCTCCAGCATGGCAACCTAGGTCAGTGGTCCTTGGTCATTATGCTAGTGACCACATGATGTAGTCCCTGGCCTTTTGTCAATATTCTTCTGCCACCGTGCCTCTGGCCTGATTGGACTTCGGCCCTCGAGTTTGGACAGAGACTGTACTTCGATGAGCTACCAAGGGTGGTGAACAGAATGCTGACTAATCTTGTCGATAACCCTAACTTGTCTAATCCTGGTATGTATATATCTCAGCAAACGACAACGGGTTGCTGTATCATTATTGCTTGAGATTGATACCAACCGCTATCGTAATTGCCATTATTACTGAATTATTACTAATTACTCAATATCCCAGAAGATGATGTCCCACCCGGCCATACAAACAAATTTCAGCAATGAATTAATCAGAAATAGAAAGGTTTCGTGAGATTCGGCCATCTCCCTGCATCAATGCTGACGTAATCCACGTGACCTCGTTTGACGACAGCTGTTCTTCCAGGAGTAATAAGCTGCCAGCAGTTCCAAACCTCCATGCTCCTGCAAATCGTCCAATGTCATATTGGCATATACCTCATAACCCCCTGGAACACTCTCTATATTCCGTCGAAGGGATGGAATGGCGATAAACCGATCAGAACCACAAGGCAAGCTGGTGGGAATCATTGGTCCATCGATGATGATTGGGTCTTCTGCGAGAAGTGAGGTGTGAGAAATGTTTTCACAGCACAGGTGCTGAGCCTTACCAGCAGAACCTGAGTACTTCCAAGGCTTTTCTTGCGTGCCCCATGTTTCTTGTAAATCTGTCCATCCTACTATCTGGTACATCTCATCCCCGTCTCGCTCATAGACCAGCTTCAGTATCTTCACTTGAGAAAGGGGCAAGATAATGTATTCCCGCTTATCCAGCTCCCCCAACGCATCACCTTCCCAACGGTCGGACACCAGGGGGGTCACTTGCTCTGATCGGTGGGCTTGGATGTGATGTTCCTCGCCCGGGCGTGGGTCAGCCTCGATGGAATCATCGGAGTTCAACGGCTCCTTCGATGTGTTGCCTTCGCGATCTTCTGGGGCCAGGGGAAGAGTTGGCTCTCGTTGATTGGATGGGTCATCAGCAACATCGCTCGGGCTTGGGTGAGCCTCCTCGATGGGGTCGTCGGAGAAATCCGACAGTTGGAGTGACAGTGGGGGAACATTGACTGGGGGGAGTCGAACAGGATCCATTCATCCCAGTTAATGTCATCAAGACCAGAGACGGTGGATGGCAGGGCAGAAAAATCAGCAAACACCTCACTTGCTGCATCCTTAGAGAGGTCACCGGACGCAGAGAAGAGGGGCACAGGCATGGGCATGGGCATTGGAAGGAGGTGCTGGTGCACTTCGTCTGACCGAGGATCAGGAGTGTACGCCCACAGGAGGTGCTCCATGTGCAGCCGAGGTGAGGGAGAACGGTTGGCAGGTCCAGAGGAGGTGATATCGTACGTGAAGGTAGCCATGTTGTGAGGTGAGATGATGGGATGCTCTTCTCCCTCGATCTCGATCCAGGAGGCACTGGAGGTCTTTATATGTCTCACGATCAACCCCCACCTGCGAACAAAAATAGGTCGAGGCTAATCGAGGAGGGTAGGAAAAATAGTAGCTGAGATGCATCTTGCGTGGATCGCCAATCATCCACACCAAAGAAGCCGCCGAACCGGGCAATGTTGCATTGATGGGGTGGGCCAACGCAGGAGTGCTCCTGGCCACCACCTCCAGGCCAACATGGGCTCTCGTCCAGTGAATATCAGCCACCAACCTACCCCCCACCCCCTCTTTTCCCCCTGGCCATGCGCCAGGAAGTCGAATCGACAAGCCGCTAAACCTGGGGACAAGGAGCACAGGGGTGGCATGCATGAGGACGGCCGAACTTCACCCAACCATGTGTACCAATCAAAAAGTGCGCCTGGATTCTCCTCTGAGCTCGAGCCCATGGATGTCTCGACTCTAAGCGAAAACACCAACATGCAGCAATATCCAATGCGCCACCTGCATCGAGGCTTATCATTTTGTGATCCACACCCCCATGAGTGCGGTTTGGCAATCCCATAGGGGCTTTATACACGAAAGCAAGGTGAAGGAAAATGCAAAATGCAGCTCATCCTCTGGACCTATCATCCATGCCGGCTTCTCCAAAGGGCGCAGCAAGGTGGGCGTCAGATCAAGCAAAGTTGGGCTCTCATCCAGCCAACATCGACCAGAGGGATTCCCCCACACTGTAAATCAGCACTCATACCAGCCAAAGCCTTTCCCCAACCCTCCTGATACGCCAGGAAGTTCAACCCAGTCGATAAGCGAGGGTCATTTGGCTGGCATGTAATCGAAAGAGGGAACTACACCCGCAGCCAATCGTCTGCACATGAACCAGTGCAGAAGCATCCCTGGCTTCACCCCTGTGATCTTTTTGCGAGAGGGCGCAGCGAGATGGGCATCGGGTCAGCCCGCCCTAGCGTTCCCTCCAGGAAGTAAGGACCAGGTGGAAGGCATTGCTGACAGACAGTGCAGCCAGTCCAACCAACATGGGTTTGGGGTTTAAAGGGCTATAAATGGCGCTTTCCCTCTCATTTGAATTTAGTCTTTGCCCTTCTCCAAATCTTTTTGTCTTCTTCCAATATTCTCTTCCTACTCTGCATATCTGCACATCCTCAGCATGGATAGACAAGGAACCGAGGGCCCTCCGCCACTACCCAGTCAACTTTTTTCGTCTGGTGCGCAGCAATCCACTCTTCCAGCTTATTGCGCGGTGCTGGGTGACTTTCTCGAGAAGGTGCCCTTCCAAACCTATGCCTCTGGTGAGGGTTTAATGACACCCTATCTCCATCCTTCAAATCGATTTCTCATCTAAGACTGCAGCCCCCCTTAACGTCCCGCCCGAGCGGCTGTCTGTTGACAGGACCTCAAATAACCGGCCTCAGCCTCCTGGTGGCATCGAACCCGACGGCAGAGGCAATATCTCGGATTCTGGGGCTACGACAGAACCGTTGGCCCATGATGAATTGAAGAATCTTCCCTATTGGTATGAGGCGCAGCAGGTTGAAAAGAGCCTTAAGATTTGTCATGTCGGAGATAAAGTATGGCGAAATAATAAATATGTTCACCGTGTGTTTTATGTGGTGGGTACATATCTCCCAGACAACTGGCTCCCTGAAAATGCGAGGCGCCGGCTGCGGAAGCAGGAGGAGAAACAAAAGAGAAGCAAGGAGAGGAAACAACAAAGGGAGAAGGAGATGCAACGAAAGAATCGTCTGAGCACATTACGTCCTCGACCATCAACACGCAATTAATGGAAGATGGGATGTCAGGCCGCTCATTATTTATTTGATATCATAATACACAGTCATTTATCCATCTGCCTTCTCTTGCATTAATTAGGTGATACTGAAGCTGTGGGTAGTATAGTCGAGTCAATCTGTTGCTCCACGTCTTGCCCATCTGCCGGGAGCGCCCTAATATGGTTCCACCCGGGAGTCGGTGAAGTGGTGGCCCACGACCGAAACTATAGCTCCCCTATGGGAGTTAGGGAATTGGGAGAATGCTGGTGAAGGCGAACCCTCAGGGAGTGTCACAATCTTGCATGAAAAGGCAGCAATGATGGAACCCCATATGGTGTCGGCATCCCTGGGGAAGTAAGCTCCTTCAGGAGCGCCGGAATTCTGAGTGAAAAGGCCACAAAGACTGAAATCCCATGCGGTGTCAGCATCCCTAGGGAAGTAAGCCCCTTGGGGAGTGTCAGAATTTTGAGTGAACAAGCAACAAAGATAGAATCCCATGCAGTGTCAGCATCCTTGAGGAAGTGAGTCCCATGCGGGGTTGGCATCCCCGGGGAAGTGAGCCCCTTGGGGGAGTAAACTCCTTGAGGAGTGCCAGAATTTTGAGTGAGAAGGCAACAAAGATAGAAATCCCATGTGGTGTCAGCATCTTTGGGGAAGTGAGCTCCTCAGAGAATGCCACAATTTTAAGCTCATAGCCACCATAGCAAAAGCCCGTGAGGGGCGCCATAACCTCAGAAGAGAAGGCCACAAAATTAAAAGTCCGTAAGGAGCCGACTCTCACCAGAGGATAGCGCCATGCTGAGTGAAAAAGCCACAGAAAAGATGCCCATCGGGGGTGTCATATTTTTTAAGTGAAAAGGCCACAGATAATGACAATCCTTGAGGTGAAAGACGAACTTGAAATCTTATTGATTCTTGGCATTTTAGGGTTCAGCAAGCACCATAGCTTTGAGCGTGTCTGAATTTATAAGTGGATAGATTGTATATTCGGCGGCTGCATCATGACACATACTTGTGAAAGCAGCCAATAAAGCTTAGACTAGATTACGTTTCAAAAAGAGCCTAGTGATGGTTTCGAATTCATTGTAATTTACAGCCAACAAAATCTTTCATCTATCTCGCTCCTGCTCCAGTTTCTCTTGCTTTCCCTTCCCCGCTCTAGACTTCTGATATTTCATGTAGTTCTCACACGTTGTTCGGGATGGAGGGGGATAATGTTTCTCCTGTTTCTGTAAGAGCTATGTTTTTCTAGGGTTGTACCGGACATGTCACTCACAATATCTTTGTCTGGTGGTGGAAAGTGGCTGTTCGAAGCATCAGACATGTTAAAATTAATTGTAAAGTACCGGTTGTCTTCATGGATGAGGAGGTAGACACCTTTGCAGCGACAGTCATCGAAATAGCTACGCAGCATACGCTGCAGTGTGCCTTTCCGTCGGTAACGCATCTGCACGAGGCTACTGTGCTCAGTCCATGGCTTCTTGACACGCTTTGAGTCTGATGTTTGCATGGTGTAGCATTTAATTCCAGTGAAGATGAAGGATCTGGGATTTGATTATTGTCACTTGATATTATGGGGAGAGGTCTCAATTTATAGCTACGAGCAAGTGTTGTGCTTCATTAAGCCAAAAGTCGCTTTTTAAAGGTGCACTTCTGTCGGATGTGACTAGTGTGACTAGTCGCTTTGCTGCGGCACTGCTTGGGCCGCGATCTGCGATCCGAAACCGTGGCCCACACCATTTTCATTCGCAATTGAACTCGGCCACGCGATCCGAATACATGGCCATGATTTGCAATCCAAAACCGTGGCCCTCACCATTTTGTCTCAATTTTCCACTCGGCCACGCGATCCGATCATTTATGCTAAAAGAGAGCATGAAAGTTAAGAAGGAAAAAAACCAAAAACCGACACCGACAAAGAAGAAAGAAAAGGATAAAATAAACAAATAAACATAAATTAATGACTGGATTAATTGGGATTGGTAGCCCTGGATTGAAGCCGAGTACGCTGAGATCTGCACAAATGTAGAAAATCGACTTCCCTGCGCCAAGAAACGGCTCAGCCTTACAGTTTGTGTATTGATTGCAGGTACGACGAGATACATCACGCTAGTCCGTAATAGGAATCGAGAGCCCAAACTGCAACCTGCTAAGCTTTAGCCGCTAAGAGGCCTGCTGAGAATATATGCCAGCACGATTCTGTTTATTCTCACAAAACTTAAAGCATATACGAACCATCCAAGGAAAGGCCTACAACATGAGAAAGCCCAGCGCAAAGATATTGTTCTGGGTTTGTAAACTTAGAAATGTTCTCAGGACAAAGGTATACAGGAATTGTGTTGGGGCAGTTTTTGTAGCCCTTGTCAAGCTCCTGTCCTGGGACTGCTCCTGTCCTGGGACTGCTCCTGCTGGGACTGCTCCTGTCCTGGGACTACTTCTGTCCTGGGGCTACCTCTGCTCTGGGACTACTTCTGCTCTGGGACTGCTCCTGTTCTGTGACTACTTCTGCTCTGGGACTACTTCCCATTCGCCCTTCATCACCCGACGGATAGTGGATCTCGGTTTTAGCGAGGATATACTGGCCGGATGAGTGCTAATCTTCTCTATATATCGTTTCAATTGACCAAATGCCCTAGGTATATATATGGGCTCCCTCCCGCCTTGAATTCATGTTTCTTTTAATTTCGCCGCAAACCTCTCTCTTCATTACCCTTCTTTCTTTTTCCTCTTCTTTATACTCATCTGTAATGTGCTTGTCTGTTCGATGTATTTGCTATCACTTAGCCTACAAGTTGGCTTCTTCAGTGTTTGAGTTCATCTGCCGCGCCTCTCAGAAGAAATCCGCCTTCCTTAACCTGTTATAAATCGCCCATAAATGTTTGAATTATTGGTTGCCTTTAAATTGCTCGAGTCTAAAAGTGAGAGATTAACAATTGAATTTCTTTCCATGTCCCTTCTCCTTTCATCACCACAACATTGTTGGGAACGCCACGTCTTGGCGTCCTTAAGGACGCCAAGACATGGCTTTAGTAAGAGAATCGCCTCGGCACGCTCCTGCCCTTAAAAATGGGTCAATCAAACCACGTACACCAACCAAATCACGCCTTGGCGTCCTTCTGGACCGGACCGTGATGGGCACAGTTGTGAATGTGGAGCAAAAGAATCGGTCCATCACGTCCTAGTAGACTGCCCGAGACTGCAGCAACAACGTCGGGTTCTGCGACAAAAGATTGGGGACAGGTTCAACAATGTCTCCCTGATGCTAGGGGGTAAACCACCAAACTGGACAATAAATGGGACGGAATGGAAAATCAGTAGGGGAGACCTCGATGCGATCCTAGACTTCGCTGAAAACTCGGAAAGATTCCAAGGCAGAGACAACTAGAGTAGATCAGCCACAGGCCCCGACGAGGCATTAAGATCGTGCATGTAATTAGACTAGAAAGGATAGATGAGAGTAGCTGTAATAGTGGTAGCCTGCATATCCCGATGAGGGAGAGGTCAGGGTAGCTGATCCAATCAATCAATCAATCAATCAATCAATCAATCAATCGAAGGGCACAGGCTTTTGGTGGGATCACGGCTTGGTGTGCTCCTGGCAACATCTCACTGTCCTATTCCTGCTTCGATCAATGGAAGCCCTGAACGCCACAACATACATGTGATGACCGTTGAATCATGTATGCTGACCAAATTGCCTGCTGGCTTGCGTACAAAACGTTAAAATGTGAAAATGTGAAATTGCGAAACTGCAAAAATTGCTTTTTCACAGGAATGCAGAAATGCAAGTCCACCAATGTGTCAAGAAAAATCTAAGATGCCTTGCCAGTCATGTCAGCACTGGGCCTTGCTAAGCTTTAACCATCAAAAGGTGGCCCCTGGATGACGTCATAGGTAGAGAACCTTCCAGAAGTCATGACATTGAATTGATGGTCTGGTGCGGCATCTCACGCAGCTCAGCTAGGCATTTGCTTTCATGAGCCATTTCCTCACAAGAGGATTCTCTCGAGAGGTGTTTTGTCACAGAAGAGGCTTTCTAAATAAATACTCTTTAATGGCCAAACTTCACAATATTTAAAGGCTGTTATAAAATCCATGTGTTCTCGCATCTGACAAGGCCTTCATATCTCAGATAGTAATACAAGAGAATGCCTCTGTCTAGAAATATCTCAAGCCCAGCTAACTGAGTCGCGTAGCAACTTAAGAGAGTCATTTTATTCATACAAACCTCCTGTAAGTGTTTTCTCAGGAATTTGGCTGAATACAAACGAATTTGGCGATCTGGCGATCTGGCGTGGTTGGTACGGACCCACATAGTTCTTGTAGCGATCACGGCTAATTTGCTGCAACCGAGAGGGTCTGAGCCCGCTGAGATAAGGCAGAGTTATCAACAAAGAATCTATAGGATAGTGGTCGGTCACGTGATACAGGGAGATCGCCACACAGCGGCCACAGCCAGCCAACACCCCCCCTCGAGATACCAAGAATCATGTATAAGACACCCAATCCACCGAGATAGCTTGCCAAAAATCAATTACATACATGAAATCATTCATTCCCGCCTTTTCCACTCGTAAGCCCGAGCGAATTTATGAAACGCTCAACATGTTGTTGCTCTAGCTTTTTGCCTGTTTTTTGTCAGTTAGCCGAACCAATGTTGATGCTATTTAGAACACTATGCTTACGGTACTTCCGTTGAGCAATTCGATTTTGTATGCGCCGTCGTCCAGCCAAGTCCGATATCTTTGTCCAATCTTCATTGGGATGGGCGCTGGCGCTGAAGGCACTAGTGAGAGTGACATTGAACCGAAAGCTGGAAACGGGAAACGTCAACACGTTGGCCTTTCTTAAAAGAATAATATTCAGATGCAACGGTGTATAGAAACTTACTTTTCACTCCCCGGGTTCGTTCGATTGTCAACAGGGGTTGATAAGCTGATACCGTGAGGGAGCAAACCAATGTGGTTATTCGCATTTACTCCATTAATAGGAGAATTCTCGACATGTAGTGGGTCATATCTTGGGTCTCGGTTTACGAAACTGCTCGGAACATATGCGGGTGGATGATGGAAGGCGTCGACGCCGCTTCCTGCCTAGGGAGAATGATGAAATGACTGCATTGCAGCATCAGTAGTTGAAGTAGCGGGGGGGATTGAAAGTGGGCTTAGTAAATTAAGTGTCATTCCCGGAGTAGATTGTGTATGGCAGGGCATGCCCATACCGTTCCTAATATGCTGTAGGCTATCGGAATCCTGTTGGAAAATGTTGGACCAATCCATCGAGTCGTGACGGTCAAAGGAAGTATGAGAGGAGCTGAGTGAACGGTTGCTAGTTGCGGGTGATAAGACATGCTGAGATGCTATTGAGGATGCGTCCGCAGTATTTCGGGACTCCCACCCAATCGTGTGCGAGAATCCCTCGTCGGTAATTCCCAGGTGGACTGGGAAGAGATCTGGGTCATCAAGGGCATCGCCCTTCAAATTGAGAGCACTGAAAGGGCGAGTAGATGAAAACATGTCCTTAAATGTGCGCAGCTTGTTTTGAGGGTCCTCTTCTAGAGTCGATTTCCCTGAATCATTGCTCAATTCACCAGACCTCGCTCTTTTATGCTTTGTGATCTTTCCTTTGACAAACGAGCCGCTTCTTTTTCTCCTGTCGAAGCCAGACCCGAGTTCAGCTTGGCTGATTTGCTGTTTCAGCTTGTCAATAAGCTTCTTGACATGTGCAACATCGTTGGAAAGCTTTCGCTCGGCACCATGATGTCGAAACAACTTGACCTTGCAATAGCATACTTCGGGCCGGTCTTCAAGGGGTGGATCTCCATGGCCGGTAGATATAACCTCTGTTTTGGCGCATAGGCGAACAGGAATTCCCTTGACGCCTTTGGAATAGCTAAAGTCGGTGGAGAGGAAATTGAAACGAACTGATATCGAGCAGCATGGGTTTCCATTGACAGGGTTCGGGGACCAAATAACAGAGAAACCGTCGAAATTAGAAGTTTCCAGATGAATTTGAGATGGTATTATATCTCCATCTCCGCCTTGGTTGAGGTCCACATGTTCTACCGCCAAAAGCTTTCTATCCCGGTGATGGGCTTCGTTGGAACCACGGCCCGCCTTCCATAACTGCCAGCAATTGGCTGGCTTTGAGCGTTGTTCATCATTCTCAAAAGAAACGCGGATAAAAGTGCGATATTTCAAAGGCTGTGCGCCTGATGTCATTGGCGCAGTATCCAGAACCGACATTGTGCAGGCTTGGCCTTTGTTAAGATACGTAATGGGTATCTCATCGGGGTCTTTTACCATTGCTGTGGCTGCCTTGAGAGTGACATTGAACCGAAAGCTGAAAATGGGGAAACGTCAACATGTGCCAAGCCTCTTTTAAAAGAATAATATTCTGGCGGCAAGTTGCAAGAGTGTATAAAAACTTACTTTTCACTCCCCGGGTTCGTTCGATTGTCACCAGGGGTCGATAAGCTGATACGACCAATGTGGTTAATCGCTTTTACTCCATTAATAGGAGAATTCTCGACATGTAGCGGGTCGTAACTTAGGCCTCGGTTTATGAAACTGCTCGGATCATACGCGAGTGGATCGTCGACGCCGTTTCCTGCCTGGGGAGCGAAAGAATGGTGAAATGAATTCATGTCTATGGCAGATTGCATTGAAGCAGGAGGGGTTGAAAGCGGGCTTAGTAAAATGTTCTGTACGGGAGGGTAGGATATGGCAAGATGTTGCTTGTGGGGGAGGCTTCTAGAAAAGACCAGTGTATCAAATACAGATCAAGACAGGCTCACCCCTATCCCTTTATGCTTGCGGATAACCTGCCAAACCAGGAAATGATGAAAAATGAGCAGAAATCACAGGCTGCCAAGCAGAGTAGCCATTTTTGACAGCCCATCTCTTGATTGGGGCACTGGTGCCAAAATCGTGCATGCATGTAACAAGGCGCGTATGACCCTTCCCTTTGCATAAAGACAAGCTAGCCTGCGTTTGCACAAGGCAATGGGCTAGTGGTGATTGTCAAAACGAGCGAAAACCAAACATTAGGCTTGATACTCACTGCAGGGGCCATCCCCTGTCGGGATATGGACCCGTACAAGCCACCAGTTGCAATGGGAGCCCATCCCCCGATTCCAGCGGTGTATCGTTTCCCGGGTCGACGTAAGGCGCAAACAAGGCAATGAGCGAGCGGACAAGATGCATCAATCAGGAAAACACAGCCGCCAGAGATCACAATCTCCGTCACCCCAGTTTGATGATCCAGTGAAGGCAAACAGGCGCTGGTGATGTCCTGGGCTGCTGGATGACAGGGCTTCGGATTTCTGTTGGCAAAATATTAGACCGACCGAGAAAGTGATAAAATACATAGCCAAACGCCAAACATCACAGCCACATCAGCAATACCCCAATCCAAGGAGTTAAAACCATTCCGTCTCCAAAATTCTCCCGGCCAGAATGTCAAGGCCGGACGCTTGTGCCTCTCGTTGATATAGAAGTGATGCACGACTTACGCGCCCTCGACTGGTATAACCTGGTCATCATTTCAAGCTCAAAGTACGCGTAGCCATTGTGTAACCGCTAGCTTTATAAGTCAGGAGGGTAGTCCAGAGTTCGCGCCCCAAGAACGGACCATATGCAGTTATTGGGGCTCGTACAAGCCGTCGCTTGCGGTGGGAGCCCTTAATTCCGGCTGTGTATACTTTACAATTTGACATAGCTGAAGTTTCAACAGCATCCGGAATTTCTAATTTTCCGGGATGCACTATTTCTTATTGGCACAAGCAAGGATGATTCTATTTTTGGGTAACCAATCATTTCCTTTCGGTTCAATCAGGAACAAACGACGAATGTACAAGAGACAATCAAACAGGGCCCTGCATCAGATAGAGAAGAGTAAATACAGGCCACCAACATATCCCAATTCATAATCATCGTCCTGGGTGATCGCGGGCTATAAAAATATATCTCCCTTGGCGATTGTCGTCGGGTTAGGCAAACTGAAAGCGTCGCGACTTCCCCATGCGTCCTATGAGATATTAATAATCCGCCCACCGAACAAGGAGAAAGTAAAGCGTACATAAGACTAGCTGCTTGCAATGGCAAAATCGCACACACTCAGTTGTTTGAATTGTCATTTTCCTTTTCATAACCATGGCTCTGTTGAGATTCCATTTCATATTCGCTTCGGTAGGCTCGGAGGCAATCGAGACAGTCACGTATTCTTTCCTTAATCATGGAGCTGACATCGTCGGCGGCCAAGAGCTCATCAAGCACTTCTTCTTCTTCCTCCATGTAGCTTTCCCTAGCTATTCTGCCATTCACGACAAGGCGCTGAGCATATTCAAGTGTTCTATAGGCGTCTCGAACTTTAGTGGCATCTTGCTCAGATATTTGTTCATAGAATTGGTCCTGTGTTTTCTCAAGGAGCTTTTTAATCGCCTTAAACTGTTCCACCTCGCCTATCATGCGCTCCACGACTGACAGATGACATGTGGCCATGCCAGACGGATCAGTGGTACGGCGGGTTATGGTTCCTGGTTTTGGCCACGGTTCGTGGCGTAAGGTTGGCGGTTCTGATATTACCCTGTAGAGGGATTTCAGTTGCACCTTGCTTGCTCCGCAAGCAGCTTGGAAATCACCCATCTCTTTCTGAAGGTACTCTAAGCCTTGATGAAGCTTGGCATCTGATATACAGCAACACAATGCATGTATTTTCATGATCTGCATCGCATGTCCATAATCTCTCCACAGGTCGGATACGTGATGTCTGAACCTATGCAATTCCTGCTCCTCGACATCCATATCCAGAGCGCACGATGTAAAACCGCTCAACTTTTCAAACAGCGAATCTAGCCCGCGGAATGCTGGGAAATGGGTTGAAAGATATTTTTGTATGTCATCAATTTTCTCGGTGTCGCAAGAGCGCCGAATAGTTTCTTCCAGGTTGGTAATATTTTGTTCAACATCCTGTCTCGTTCGGATTAACGCGCTATAGACGTCGGCAAGCCATCTCACTTGGGGTAACGGGCCCTCGAGAGATTCCTGAATAAGGTAAGTATTAAGAACAACAAATTTAGAGTACTTAACTTACCATGATGGAAAGACAACTTGAAGCTGATGAGATGTTCTTTGTGGAAGTCTTGACTTCTTCGTGGTCCTGTGAGGCTCCTGTGGAGAATGAATTGTATTTTGCTATATGAGTGTGGATGAACATGGCTATTCTTATAGCTGCTCGGAGCCTGTTTTTCACAGATGTGGATGGCCAGCCTGGGACAAGGCAACGGGCGAGCGTGCCAGAGGAACACATTTAGCTCGATTTGGTTGTTGCAGGGGCTACATCGGGGCATGCAAGCGACAGGGGCCATCTTCCATTGGGATATGGACCCATACAAGCCACCAGTTGCAATGGAAGCCCATCCCCCGATGCCAGCGGTGTGTAGTTTCCCGGGTCAACAATAAGGCCCAAAAATGAGGGTGCAAGCGCGTAACAAATAAGATACAGCCAAACCCGGACTGTATAATCCCCAAAGCAAAGAATTCGTGGCACAGCAACTGCAGCTGGATCACACTGGTAGTCTCTCAATCATTGGTCTGGTTGAGTTTAGCAATCAGGCAAATTATGGGGGAAGATACTGTTTTTGCAGCCCAAACCACACACTACCAAACCCGGAATCCTTTTAGAACCTATATTTTAAAATCTCTTTCTGCCGGGGCCAGTGCCTGGTGCACGCCTGGCGCATGGGCATAACAAGGCAGCCGAGTTCATGTAGGCCTAAATGACAAGATCCCTTCTCATGTTTGGTGCAGGGGAATTTTCCGTCGGGATATGCACCCGTACAAGCCACGAGTTGCAATTGATTCTAGCGGTGCATGCATGTAACAGGGCGCATGTGAATAACGAGGCAAAAGGCCATGCTGCTACGGGAGCAACTTCCTCCCGTGAGTAACAAGTGTGGATGGCCGAGGCAAGGGGCTAGTGACGATCAAACCAAGCGAGAGACAAAAATTTGGCTTGATACTTGGTGCAGGGGACAGGGTATGGAAGCCCATCCCCCGATGCCAGCAGTGCATCGTTCCCCGGGTCAACAATAAGGCGCCGGTACCAAAACTGCGCATGCTTGCTCCAAGGGCCATCTTCCATCGAAATATGCAGCAAGGCGGTTATTGTGACCCGTACAAGCCACGCGAGCCCATCCCTTGATTCTAGCCGTGTATAGTTTCCCGGATCAGCAATAAGGTGCCAAGAATATATTCGATAAATATCACACTTGGGAATTTATAAACATATTTAGATCTGACTGTCAAAGTTCAGGTTCAAGCTGTTTTGTGGTCTGATAGAAGTGTAAAATCGGGATAAATAGCTTCCTACAACTGGGCAGAATTCATCACCGAGAAAGTCATAATTAACCAACGCCAAACATCACGGCCGCATCAGCAATACCCGAAGCCAAGGAGTTGGACCCATTCCAAATCTCATCAGGCACTTTGAAAGTGTGATAATTACTAAGGAGCAATGTCACAGTTAGGCCATCCAGGCTGAAACCCGAAACAGTGCTCAGTTGCCAGAGATCTCCCGGCAGCTGTGAACGCTCGTAGAACACCGGTCGTTGAAATAGAAGTGATACACGACTTATGCGATCTCGATGGGTATATAACAGATGTGTTGACATCAGCCCTCTCAATTGTGTGGAGAGCAAGTGGATGGTATCCTCCAATCTCTTCACAGACAATGGTTCCCCTGCCTGTTGTCGAAGAATTTTTATCAGACAGAGCGCGTATGGTAATGCCAGAGGTCCGTCAACTCTATTCTCGGAGAATGCGCGAAGGATATTTCTTAGACAAAAAGTATGAGTCTTCAGATACTCCAGCCGCTCTTGAAGTACAGGCTCTGAGATGAAAACTATGAAAGCCAAGGGTACATCTTCGTCTTCATCGCCGTGACATACCTATTTAGAATTAGCATTGGCGGTGTCAATTTCCATTTTTATTCCATACATCACCACGGATATCCGGATAGTAGCGATCAGCTTTGTCAATCAAGTACGGGCCATCGCTGGGACTGACACCAATGGTGGGATTGTCCTTGCATACGTTAGCTGAGCTCTCCTTAAGTAGGTGAAGAATAGCAGACTCACCATGGCAAGAGATTCCGTCGAAGCGTGGATCCCACTTTGTAAATCCACGGAACGTAGACAGGAGGAAGTTGGGTCCTTATATGGCAATGGGTGTGAGCTGGAGACACCGTGGTTTTTGGCCGTTTCCCTTCTAAAACCTTTATGCTGTCTCTTTACAAAACTGGACGCCCCCTGGCTGGGGTCAACGAATTTGTAGAGTATTTCATTCTGGGCACCATCGCAGTGCAAACCCCTTTTTATGCAGCTGCGACAGGCAGGTGCTGCTTCATCACATTTGACATGCCTTGCTTTGCAGGTCGAACAACCAGTGAAATTTCTATCATGGTATCTTCGTTGGCGGGTTGAACATGTGGTTGACTGTCTCGCGCCCAGGGAATTGGGCTCCTGAAATTTTTTAGCACAGAGAGAATGAACAGGTGGTGTGGAACTCACCATCTCTGCAAGCTAAAATCTGCGGGGCTGGCTTGTGGAAACTATCCTAAGGGGATTTCAATGGAGGCAAGAACCGCTTCTTATCACCTTTGGAATGTTAAGAGCAGATATTCTTCGCTTCGCCCAGCCGGAGCTGATATTTGCATGGCCCCTCGACTACCCAGTAAAGAGTGAAGCTATCTTTCTCCCTCCCAGCCGCTCTCAGTGAACCAAGACACACAAAGGGTAGCCATAATTAGCTGTGTATTTGTTGTCGGCAGGCAGCGGACCTAACCTATTGCAATATACATTCTACATCTTGAAATATTGTAACTGGCTTGAAAGCTGATAGGGTCAAATTCTCAAGGAGCTTTTTATTAAGGCATTCTGTGTATTTAAACTGTCGGAAAAATGGTTGATCCGAAAACCACCGAAAATGTACCCAGCAAGGTGAACTTTTTTGCAAAACTAGACGTCATCTGAGTAACGGAAGCATGTTGGGCAATACTCATGCCCACATGCGCATTTGTTGACCGCCGAGCCAGTTCCTTCGCAGTAGCAGCACTTGATGGCTCGATTAACCCAGGTCTCCCGTTTTTCTCTCTTTCTTTCCAGTTTCAGCGCCAGTTCAGGATAAGGCAACATATAGAGCACAGATGCTGTTTCTGTTTCCGGGTCCTCATCGATCTCGATAGCTTGGCTAAGATGGGTCGCCGGGACTGCGCTTGTTTGGTTGTTTGTCTGAGCATCATGACGTCTATTCGCTTGGTTCGGTTCGTGTGATCGGTCAACAGATCTTTCCCTACGCAGTGTCCTTTCGTGCAAACATTCCGGACACGATGTATGGCCACATTGTCGACATTCCCCCCCACCGCTAACATCCTCCTCACATCTGCAGCAGAAGAGTCTCAGACGTCGTCGAACTGCTTTTCGAACATATCCTTGCCTGGTTTGGCTTTTTCCCCGTATTTTGTTCAATAGATCATGGGCCGTGATTTGGTCGTCATCTTGATCCTGAGATCTGTCGGTTCTTTTGTTGGGTTCTGCATTTTCTCGCATCGCCCGGGTGCTTGCTCTTTTCCGTATTTTCGGGTCCGAGGTCAAATCTTTGTCCATCTCTGAAAAGGCGTTAGCTACACAATGAAAAGAACATTCTAAGAGAACCATATACCTCTCAAAACCAGAATCACTTTGCTTGCTGCCGTGCCTAAAGTAACTGTTTGTGTACTCAACTATACCTTCGCCAGGCCATGCAGGCAAAGAATATCGTATTAGCTCTGAAGAAATTGTGCTTGAGTCTTTAGCTTTAATATCTTTCTGGAGTGATAAGCCCGTCAAACAGGATACTTACAGGTTCGCCTGTTTTGTGAAGTAGAAGCATCCAGCCGCACGACAAGCTTCTCAGTATGGGTATTTTATTTAGACGGAAATAGCTAAAACTATTCAACGTGGCCAGGGAAAAGTCAAATAAAAACACACCGAGCGATGGTGAACTGTAAAAGGGAACTGAGAAACTATATCGGCGTCCATGGATCAGTGCAATCTGTACCCTAGCCGGTACGATTGAATCGCAGCTTCCCCGTCGCTACAAGCAGTCAATTCATCATATCGCAGGTCCCGCCGATAGTCCCCCTCAGACCCCTCAGACCCCTCGCATAATACAGTAAAGATACCCGTCTCCAGGATCGGCCGGTCCGGATAGTAAATTGAGGCCACCGCCCTAATTTTCTGGAAATTACTGTTAGACCATCCAGCAGAAACAGGGGAGGGTGACGTACCAGATGTGCTGATTCAGGGCGAGCCGTCCGAACCTCGTCTAGTCGTGTATAGCTTTCCTCGGTCATGAAAGGGAGGCGAGCAGAACGACTTTCTTGGTGGGGGCTGAGCTGGCCTAAATCGGATGTGTTGTCTGTGAAGTTCGCTAACGGCACAGTGTTCCCCGGTTCGCCAGAATGAGTGGAAATATTTCGAGCCATATAGGCACTAATAGTGATAATCAACATCGCCTGGAGCCATGTCAGCACATGTTGGAGCAAGAGCCATGGTTTCACTGAACTTACTTCGATCCAGAGGGGCCAATCGTGGACGAGTCCACCTGCGGCAAACCCTGCCGTTACGATAACGAGAATTGCATGGATTGCAACCTCACAGATTATCGACCCCTGAGATGGTATACCGCGAATTCCGCGCCATAAAAGCAGGCCGGCAAGTACCGTGTAGTCGATAGATACGACCACAGCTATACCTTTCACCAACTCCTCGTAGGCGACCGAGCTAACTCAATGAGCACAAGGCCTATCAAGATCGGGGAGAAGAGCACACGCACCATAAGATCAAACCGAACTTTACCGCGGGGGACAGAAAACCATATCCTAGAAATAACGATGCAGCAGGGCGTTCGTAAGTGGTCCGCTCTGGATTTTGCTCAGCCGAATCATCTTGACATCGCGGTTAGCGAGGACCAAAGCAGGGGACTGGGAATAATGTACCTCAAGGGCTAGCGGAAATGCTGTACATATTCCCAAGGGATAGTAAAATGCTGGTGTATCTGAAACAAGCTTTTAGCATTTATCCATCTCAGTAGAAGGGGCTTCTCACCCCCGCGTCTTAAGCCTGATAGACCAATGCCAATGACAACAGCATTGACGCAGATAAAGAGAACGAAGATTGATATCTCAGGCAAACGGTGAGGCTGGGGGCGGTGAACGGTAAGCAAGATGAGATGCACCATACTTAGCACGATGAGCGCCGCCGACATAAGCGCATACAAGATGTTAGGATACATGTTGCAAGATAAGGCAGCCAAGGTGGTCCATTTTTAAATGATCTGTCGCGGAGCGATGTGATGTGGTTTATAGCTCTCGGGCAGCCACTCTCTGTGCGCCTCGAATGGGGGCTTTTTCGATGGTCAAGGGGGTATGCCATCCTCATTTCAGCAAATGTTGGACGGCAAAAACTTGTCCAGGGCCTGTACAAATAGTGACACTATTGTTGTTACATCTGAACCCTTTTGAGGATGGCACGGACTCAAGCTGGACGTGTATCTCGCACTCGCTCTCCCACGGTGATCGACGCAAGTTTCCCCGTGCCCTCGACACAGCCTGGCACCCCCTGGCTGTCATGAGGCAAAAGAAAATCCAAAAAGGCTCATTTTCGGGCAGCAACTAATAGGAGCCAGGTTCGCCTGGATCACAGGTATCAACCTAAAAAAGAGGCCAGCAGAACTTAGCGGGAGAGTCAGCTCACCGGGGGCCTCCGCTTCCCGCTAGTCCAACGCTAGCTGTAGCCTGCTTCACGTCAACATTTCAGCCGCCCACGGTTTTGTTTGTACAAGTTTTATTTTCATTTTTGTTTCTGGCAAGGACTTGTTCACGACGACGATACATCTCCCTCAGTATGGGGAATGGTGTTAGCTCTACGGTAAGACTGGTGCAGGCCTCTCACGATCCGGCGTTGAAAGCGAAGCTCCATGAACTTGGGGATATCATCTGCGGCTTGGGTAGCGTGGTGCGTTTCCCCTCACTGGTTCCATTCTCCATAATCTGACATAGTTGGACCTAGACCATTGGGAATTCTCTGAAAGCCATATGCAATTCTCCAGATCGCAAGGAGTCACTTTTCAAAGCGGTTGCAACAGAGATAAATCGCCAGGACGAAGTTCACCAGCTAACGACTAGACATACCTTTTTCCAACAATGGGAAAAGAAGAGCTTATCTGAGAAGCAAGTCGCTGGACTTGCTGCTCTCACAAAAGGTTGGGAGCTCAATGATGACGACCTTCAAGCGCTCAGGAAATCCGCACTGATATGGGCGTCCCAACCTTGGCTTTTTTTTGACACCAGGAAGACCGATCGCACCGGTACGCTTGGGCTTATTCAATTTTGCTCTAATGACATCGAGCAGATCGAAAATGTCAATCCCACACGACGAAAAGTCGATCTCATTGTCATGTTCGACGCAATTGTACAAGAGGTGGAACACCGGCGGCGCTCAAAGAGAAAGAAAACTCACGATGTGACCGTCGACCCAGCAAGACCGCAAAAAGTCATCTCCGAAGTGTACTCCGATATTTTGGAGGGCTCCGGGTCTCCCAAGGAGCACCGGAAGCTGAAAAGGCAATCCGCTAGTGGAAGCAAATGGGCCCAGATTGAACCTCGCTGGATGGTTCTCGCACTGCAAGGCGCCACTGTTAAAAGGTTCGTTATTCCTCTCAGAGAGAGTGGTTCTGCCCAGCTGAGAAGACCTTTAGCTTCGAGGGGAGGCGATGGCAGCCGATAGAAATCAAGGCGATGAATGCATACCTTAAAGTTCTTAGGGCATGGAAGGAAGAAAGTTTACTCTCGACCGCGTATTCAAAGATACTTGAAGAATATCATCACCGTGCTTCGCTCACAGTTCGAGATCAACCCGAAGAAGCGTTCACAGCAACAATCCGCGAGCAGGGTGGAACTCGGGAAGGGAACCACTTGCCACAGAAGCGGACAACATCTTACCCAGAGAAGTCTTCTGGTAAACGAAGATGCGATGGGCGAAACGAACAAGCTACCCAGCCGAGTGGTGGGCACATACCATCGGAAAGCGTCCAAGGTACGTAATAAAGACTATGTCTTGGCCCCCAGCTAATGCTGTTACGTAGAAGCACGATCAGCTATTTCCGGGCAGGGTTCTGCGCCGCGAAAGCAGCATACAAACCACAACCCAGCCTCTCAGACACTGGCTGACCCGGGTGCAAATTTACAAACGCAATTGGAGATGACCTGGGAAGATGATGGTACTATCCACCCACTTCCTGAAGGTAGGATTTCAAACCTGCTTCACTTCTCTGCAGACCCTGACATGTTTAGATCAAACTTCGACCAACGATCCTGCACATCAAATGTCCGTTGACCACCCGGGGACCTCAAACCAAATAGAAAACAGACGCAGCATATCCTCATCGAGCTCAATATCTGAATCCACTGATAACTCGCCGTATTACAGCGATCCTGGTGGCGCGGGTGCCGTTGAATGCCACAATTATTCTTCTTCGAAGCAAGTGCATAATGGTTGGCGGCTAAGCCCTATCGTGGAACTCTCGTTGGAAGAGCGAGAGGCTGCCCAAATGCTTCAACAATTCCAACAACAGACGCAACCAACATCCGATCCACCTAGCTCGCAGCAGGTGGGAGAAATGAGCGTGCGAAATGCCACGAGAGAGTGTCCTCAAGGTACGTCAAGCGACCAGTTTACCGGAACCCTTCTTCATCACCACGAAGATCTCTCGGTTCCTTCCATCCAAACATGCTCTCATTCAGCGTCGGAGGGAGGATGTTATTCGGCAGCACCATCGGAGGAGCGGGTTACACCGCCAGAACAAAGTAGTTCTGCTTATAGATGAATCCCCTAAGCTAATACAGTTAGCAGTTAACGCAAATGGCCTGGCCAAGAATTATATAGATGTTCCATCGCATGTCCCTCGCCCGATCGTCGATATATCCAGACAGGATTTAGTGAGATGGGAGGACGATGGTACTATTCACTCATCCGATCTTTCTAAAGGTAGAATTTCAAACCCAGTTTCTTTGCTCCTCTGAGCACTAACATGCTTTAGATCACACTTCGACCAACGATCCTACCACCCTTAATGCGAATGAATCCCGCCCTCCACATCCAGCCACAACCTCGAATTTATTTTATAACGGGGAAACAACCACAAACATTCCAACATGGCGTAATGTGGTTTTTGACCCAGACACACAGGATATGACAAATGAGCTTTGGCAAGACGGGTTTTTTGACCCTGACACACAGCACCCGACAAACGGGCTATGGCAAAATGTGTTGGCTTCAGAAACAAGCCCAAATGATAGCATGGGTTTCCGTCAGGTGTTGCCACAATTCTTCCCCTATTGTGGCGGTCTGAATGCACAACCATCAGGGTTCTAGGCAGGTTTTTAGTGAGGCGCGTGTTGAACTTATGCTACCTGTTGCAGGTAGATGAACTAAGGTTATTTCCAAATATATACAAATATATGATAAGCAGAAGAGGAGGCAAACACAAACACTGTAATACATAACAGAATTCTAAGTCCAGATCATTTGATGCAAATATCCCATTCATCCCGTTCCCTATGCCTTGTTGTTATCCCCCCCTATCATTTCTTTAATTGTGAGTAAGTCAACACAGGTGTGTATATAGGAAATAATTTCTGTGACATCTACAATTTTCCCAACTGGAACGGTTATTATTGAGTTTTCATCGGGAGTATCGGATATCATAAGGTCATTTGATATAGGAATGAGGCGCATAGGGGCCTTAGCCCAAAACCGAGTGTGATCACCTATTCTCAAAAGTTTGGATTTTGAGGGCTGCCATACACATCAGTACCATATTCACCCATTTAAGATAATATCACACTCACATCTGCCTTAGCTGCATGTAGTATGGTTTTAATCTTCGAAACGTCCAGAGCCTCCATGCTTTCCTTCGGAGTATCAGGTGTCGCTCGCCATTCAGTGATTTTATCCGCATGTTGTTTTAAATATTTAAGTTCGCTTTCGCATTCTGGAGGCAAGGGATTGACATCCAAGTTCTTCCTCGTTTCGGTCGGCATGTTGCTTGGAAGATAGATGCGGGACATAATGTAGGAGTCTGCGATTCCGAGTATTCGAAGAGTTTGCTCCGCTGGATGGTGGTAACTGGGGTGGTGTGGAAATTGGAAGGTACTTTATTGAGGGACGAGTCTTGTCGGGTCAGCGAAAAAGTTTTGAAAGGTTGTTTACCTAACCCCGCCAATCGCATGACATAGGTGGCACTCTCAGCTTTGATACACAACAACCTTGCTCTTGCAACATGTTGGCTCTTCCCTACCGTTCGCAAATTTACAGGATTTCTTTATATATGGAGCGTCAAATACTAGCGGTGAGGTTAACTATGAAAAGCATTAATTCACATCTCATAGCGTCCATTTCTACGGTGATTATTTACAGTGTCAAATTCGAGATGAGGGCTCAGAGAGAAAAAAGAAATCATTTTTGGAGGGGCATTGCATTTGGCGCTCATTGGATGCAGTAATAACATTCACTGGCAGCAAATCTTGTCTTGGCTGCGTCTTGTGATGTATACCGCGGACAAACGCTGATCCGTGTTTTTTTAGGCAAGGTTGGAATTGTTCACCACTTCAAGAATTATCGCCCCGCAAAATGTCGCATCTAAATTTTTGGTACCCATTTTACTTTTTGATGTAACTCCTTATCCCTATCTAATGGCTGATGACGGTTCGCCAGATTACAAGGCTCTCTTCCATAAAGCGGAAGCGGCACGAAGGTAGGTAGCATATCGAGAACGACAGGAAGTAGAGTTGCGAAGACAAGCGGAAAACCGGGAGGCACAGGCAAGAGCGCACAGCCAGCCGACAAGTGCCGCCCCTGAACGTAGCCACCGAGTGAACTACATCAGTGTCCTTTATATGGACGGTTAAACCTCAAGGTGGTTGAAAGGGTCCCATGATTAGTTTTTTTTTTTTTTTTCATTAAAAATGTTATGCGATATGGTGTAATTGATAGAGCTTTGTTTGAATGGGCAGAAAGAGATAATTATGACGATATCGCCGATTCCAATCTACATAGCCACTAATTACAAAAAAAGTTTTATTTGCCGGTATCGTTTCCAACTGGAAATCATGTCAATCAGTAACCATATGACCTATGTCCAATGAGCACCACAAGGGAGTAGTTCGTGATGTTTGATAACCCAAAACGGCACCTACCGTGCTGGCTTGAGCTTAAGTACAGTGATTACTAATACCTAATGCGTTCCTCCCTGGCAGCCAGCAAGCTCTGACATCTCCCGGGTTGGGTGGCGTACATTAATCCTAAATGGGAATAGCCGACCTCCTCACAATACGATTTCAATATTTTGTTTGTACATTCGCGTTGTGCATCAAAGCCAAGCCGGATCAACCCTTTGACCTTTGATTATATATATCAGCATCTAGCTATCTTCTCTCGCAAGTATCATATATTATAACTTCCTAACAATTCTGCATTTTTGTTCCCGTGTTTGCTTCCCATTCATCACATAATATAAGCATACCAACCTAACTTTTCTCCCGGTACAACGCCTAGTTAACCTCGCACCCGCTCAACGGTCTTTTTATGCCGTCAAAATGGCGGGACTTTCGCAAGAAGATCGCAACATTATCAAGAACCATCCTCTAACCAACTTAGTCGACCGTTTACGAGGCACGCTTCAGGAAGCCGAAAGAATATATAAGTCGCGTCTAATTTCTGATGCCGTTGATGAGAGCCTTGACCAACTCTATCGAAATGCGATTTCAAAACTCCTCTCTGCGTTACAGGGAGAGGATGCAGCTTACAGCCTTCGCTCGCGGATAAATGATGGGGATGTGGCGTCTGATCTAGCACAATTATTTGAGCGCCTCCGAAAGGCAAAAGGACACTTCAGGTATGACGACTACCGGCCGCTAGTGAACCTGATTATTCAAAGGCCTCCCACTGAATCCCAGAACGTCGAAACCTGGAACTTCGATGTCTGGAAAACTGTATTTAACCTCATTGACAACATCCCTCGATCAACTCCTCCGGCGAGCGTCCCCCCCTCCTTTGACAGCACGCCAGTCAAATCCACCTCGTCATCACAGAAAGGTTCCGAGCAGACGCGTGAGTTGGTGAATCCGAGGATCTTCGAGGAGATACGTGGCTGCACATTTCGAGACGTCGAGGGTTTCCTTGCCAAGTACTTTGAGGGAAAAGAATGGAGTGACAAAGCAGATGCCATCTGTCGACGCGTGCTGGCCACAGACAGTGATGGGAATTGGGCCCAGTTTCCTGATCCTCCTACGCAGGACAATGTCCTTGCCTGGTGGTTTCGTCTTCAAGAAGACCTTCTCTCGGAATCACGCGGCACCTACTACACCACGGCGAGCAAAGCGGATCTTACTGGTTCGAAGGCGGAACGCCAAGTCGACCTTCTTTTGAGAGCTAGGGGTGGGAGCACCTCGCAAAACAAACACGACTGGAGAGACATCCTGGTGGTTGGCGAGCTCAAAAAATCCAAGGAGGAGATCAAGACCAAAGCCACACTGCTGCAGATCGGCCGCTGCGTGCGTGAGGTCTTTGCTGCGCAGCCCACCCGGCGGTTCGTCCACGCATTCGCCATCTGCGGGACCAAGATGGAGTCGTGGGTGTTTGACCGCTCGGGCCCCTACAGCTCGGGCATCATCGACGTCTACGCGGACTCGAGACAGTTCTTTCAGGTGCTTGTGGGCTACACCATGATGAGCGACGAGGAGCTGGGACTGGACACCTTTATTGCTAGGGATGAAGGCGGCAACAAATCAATAACTGTCAAGGGCCCTGGGAACTCAGAGGAAAGGAAGGTGCAGCTGGGCGAAATGCTTTCCTATCAGCGTGCCATCGTGTGTCGCGGAACCACATGTTTTCTCGCAAACGATGGACAAGCGGAGGGCGTAGCCAAATTCTCGTGGGTGTCGGACAAGCGGAGGCCAGAGGCGGAACTCCTTGAGCTGGCGGCTCGGAAGAATGTCCGGGGGGTCGCCAGGATCATTGGTCATGGTGCCATCACTAGTATCGCCGACATGCGCTGCGGGCTGACCTTCGACGAGAAGCGCCACGACTTCAAAAGCGCACCCCCAAGCACGGCCTCCTCGTTTCATCAATCTCAACCACTCACCGAGCCCTGTCGCTTAGATATCCGTCAAAAGTCGTCTTCCAGGAAGCGCAGATCCCCAGACAAGGGTCTGCAGACATCCAAACGATCACGTTCCACCAATCATCAATCAAGGGACACCCAGGAGAAGAACGAACTAGCTTTCTCCATTCAGTCAGCGCACCAGCCAAGCCTCTTCGACAGGAACGGCGAGGAGACGTACGACAACCGTGTCCTCCGGTGTCTCGTGATCTCTCCCGCTGGCCGGCCGATCTACAGGTACGAATCACCACTGGAGCTGCTCAAGGCACTTCGCGATGCAATAAAGGCGCACCGGTCTCTTTATCTGGATGGGAACATCCTTCATCGGGATATTTCGGAGAACAACATAATCATCACCGATCCAAACAAGACGGATGGCCACTCGGGCATGCTAATCGATCTGGATCTTGCCAAGGAAGTCGGGAGCGGGCGTAGTGGCGCGCGGCACCAGACTGGCACGATGGAGTTCATGGCGATCGAGGTGTTGCTTAATATCGACCATACCTATCGACATGATCTTGAGTCGTTTTTCTACGTGCTTATCTGGCAATGTGCCCGTCACGGTTGGGAAAACTTAAATGAGCTACAGAGACAGGGACAGGACCAGCCCAAAGACAGCATGCTGAGAGAATGGTATACCGGAACTTATAAGAAAATTGCAACTTATAAACGAGGTAACATGGAAGCTGGCGGATTTGAGTACCTTTTGCAGGAGTTTCCGCCGGACTTCGAGCGCGTCAAGCATCTTTGCAGGACCATACGAGGCGTACTGTTTCCTTACGGGAAGGAAGGACTTATTGTTGGAACGCCGCAAGACCCAAAAAGGTTATATGATCCTATTATTAAAGCGTATGATGATACGATAGCTCTGATTGAGACGTAATAGGATTAATGATTGCTCGGTTCTGGCGAATGAGTATTATATATTAGCCTGCCCAATACATACGGTTTAATGTGCCCAGTTATTTCTCTAATTAGGGCCACTCCACTTCTTAGACAGCTTACTCAGTCAATTACATGCTCTACTTTAAGGGTGAAATGTGGATCCCAGCAAATATTCTATGTCTCCTGGAGAAGTGGGAACATTGCTATTCATTACACCTGCTGCACTAAGTTTGAACAACTAAATATCTAGAGGTGGCCGCAGCCCAAAGGTATTGTTGGTTTCCAGAAGCTTTTATCGCACATATGAGAAAATGCCGACACAATAGTGAACTCCACCGAGAAGCAACCATATAACCTATATCCAAATGAGCACCACAGGGCAGTAGTTCGTTTTGATTCGCAGATGTACGTCGTCGGTAATAGCCAGCCTCCCCCGACCTGAGTTCTTTGGGCTTATTTTCGATGTACTTTGCTGAACGGTCAGCAATTAAAGCCCACTGTATATGGAAATAATGCTTACCGACACTCAAATGTTGCTACATCCCGGCTTTCTTTCTTTACTCCCTCTTTCTATCGTCTCGAGTATCGCGGACATTCGATTAAATATTTCAATCATTTCGAGCACCTGGCTATAGATCTCCATGATTTCGTCTTGCGGAGATGTATTGTTGCCGCCTTTGGTGTTCGAGGAGGAGGTTGCTGAAGGTCTTCGCATGTCATAATTCGCATTCGGCATTGCGGCAAGCCAGACGGGTTTCTCGATAACCACAGGGTTCTGTTGAGACGCGAATTTCCAGTCGATTTGCGGAGTATGGTTTATTACGGTTTAAGAGTAAGAATATACATATCCAGAACCGGAGATTCTTCATTCAACATGCTCCTCAATCATTCTCCCAGTTTGACAGTTATTCTGCATATCCCCTTGTTTAGCTGCCCTCCGGTCTATTGCCCGTCCTGTTACGCGTCTTTCTGCCACCGCTTCCGATGAGTGCGTAACTGCCACTTCCGAACTTGTGATTGGCTAAAATGGCGGCGGGGAAAATGGCGCTAATTAATACTAATGCGAAACCTGGTGGCGTTTCTTAGCGGTATATTTGGCAGCTGGGCGGCGCACGCTTTTTGGTAGGGTCCTCCGTATATTAGATGGTATTGGAACAATCACGTGACTGACATTCTCGTAAATTACCTGTATTTGCTTGACACCACCCATCTCACTCTCGTAGAACACTCTTCCAATAATCAATACACAGGACTACTACCCACAGAATGGCACCGAGCTTGCACTCCAAAAATCCAGCTTATCTGTGATATGCTAAAAGGCGATAAACTACTAAATGTATCCTAGGTTGCTTATGCTGCTGAATGCAGCTCGCGGTCAGTTTATTACATGCATGCCAATGATTGGCTATGAGACTGACAGCCTTGCAGATGGACGTAGCTGATTACCCCTCCATCTTCATGGCTGAACTGTCCTGGATAAGATCACGTTAAATCCATCACTTTCATTTCCCTTGTGATTAAGAGAAGGCTTAAATATCCAAGCTCTAGCGACAAAGCTACCAAGAACAGCTCAGAATGCGCCCAAAAAGCCGAACTGATTTTGCAATCGCCATTATCTGCGCCCTTCCTCTGGAGGCTGACGCCGTTGAAGCTCTTTTCGACGAATCCTACGATCGATTGGGCAAATTTTATGGTAAACAACTCGGAGATGCGAACTCATACATAAATGGAAGGATTGGAGAGCATAATATTGTCATGTGCTACATGCCAGGAATGGGGAAAGGAAGCGCAGCAAGTGTGGCTTCAAGCCTACGAGTCAGCTACACTGGAGTCCAGCTTGCACTAGTTGTTGGTATCTGTGGGGGGGCTCCACGTCCTTCTTGTGATCAAAAAGTCTTTCTCGGCGATGTCATCATTAGCGATGCCGTGGTTGAATATGATTTCGGCAGACAATACCCGGGTGGTTTCTGGCGAAAGACTGAAGTCAGGGACATCCTTGGAAGACCGGATCGAGAAATTCGGACGCTCCTGGCCGGCCTTAAGGCACGTCGAACATGCAGCGAATTTCAAGGCCAGATGTTACAGCATCTTCGCACCATCCAGCAATCAGACTCTCAGTGGCATCTTCCGGCCTCCAATGATATTCTGTTTGAAGCTTCTTATCACCACAAGCATTACAGTGTAGATCCTTCTGTTGGTTGCTGTTGTTTTTATGGAGACTCTCCTGATGATATTTGTGAAGAGGCCCTGGAGAAAAATTGCAATAGCCTGGGATGCGATGGGAACCGAGTTAGTCGTCATCGAGATACTACAGAAGGAATTGAAGCATCTGTGCATATTGGGAAAATTGCGTCCACTGACACAGTGATGAAATCCGGAGAACACCGTGACCAGATTGTTAGAAAAGAGAGGGTGATTGGTTTTGAAATGGAGGGGGCTGGAGTGTGGGATAATATTTCATGCATCATCATCAAGGGGGTGTGTGACTATGCGGACAGCCATAAAAACAAAACATGGCAAGCCTATGCAGCAGCAACTGGTGCTTCGGCTGCCAAAGCTTTCTTAGAGTATTGGAGACCTATTCACCGAGAAGGTTAGTCAGAGTATCATAATCAAGCTTTATTACACTAACCATGTTTTTCTGTAGAGAGGGAACATCACTGGATGGTCCCATTTGGAAGAAACCCGCGATTTGTAGGCCGGCAGGACGAGATCATCAAACTCGAGGAATTAATGATGTGTCAGGGTGGAACGACCAAGATCGCCATCTGTGGGCTAGGGGGGGTTGGAAAGACCCAAGTAGCGCTGGAGTTGGCTTATCGCATGCGAGATAGAGATGAGGAGTGCTCGATTTTCTGGATTCCCTGTACCAGCTATGAGAGTGTTGAACAAGCTTACATGAGTATCACACAGATACTAGGGATCCAGGACGTGAAGCCCGTGGAGGCAAAAGACCAAGTAAAGGCTTATCTTAGCCAAAAGAGCGCTGGAAAGTGGCTTGTTATTTTCGACAATGCAGATGATATGGACATGTGGGTCAAGGGCAGCAATACGACATCAAGCCTTAAGAACTTTCTCCCTCAAAATGAACAAGGCCACACTATCTTTACCACTCGCAATCGAAAACTAGCAGTGAAACTAGCGTCCTCTTCCGTGATACCAATTCCCGCGCTAGATCAGGAGACTGGCGTGGAGATTCTGAAAAAGTCACTGATTCGAAAGGACTTGCTTGATGATAGGGACACAACCATTGCTTTTCTTAAACAGTTGACCTTTCTCCCACTGGCCATTACTCAGGCGGCCGCATATGTCAATGAGAATGACATAGGACTAGCTGACTATATTGCACTTCTACAGGAACAGGAGCCTGATGTTGTGGAACTGTTAAGTGAAGATTTTGTGGATGAAGGGCGCTATACAAACATCCAGAACCCGGTCGCCACTACCTGGTTGATATCATTTCAACAAATCCAGCACCTAGATGAACTAGCAGCCGACTATCTGTCATTGATGGCTTGCATCAATCCACGCGATATTCCTCAGTCCTTTCTTCCCCAGCCAACATCTAAGAAGAAGAGAACCGATGCCGTAGGCCTTCTTAAGGCCTATTCCTTTATTAGTGAGCAGGCTGGAAATCATTACCTAGGTCTTCATCGGCTTGTACATCTTGCGACTCGGAGCTGGATAAGGAAGAACAACTGCTTTGCTAATTGGATATTTAAAATGGCAGACCAATTAGACAAAGTATTCCCAGATAGTGATCCTACCAATCGACAGGTATGGCGCGAATATTTACCTCATGCTCTTTCATTGATAGGGGAAAGTGAGTTTCAGATCCAACAGGACAATTACATCAACTTGCTTCACAATGTTGGAAGTTGTCTGTATAGTGATGGGAGGTATAATGAAGCGGAGGGATTATTGTCAGATGTAATGGCCTTGCAGCTGAGAAAAAATGGTAATGAGCATCCTTCCACGCTGAGCAGCATGGCCGACCTGGCATCCACATACCGGAATCAGGGACATTGGAAGGAGGCGGAAGAGCTGAACGTGCAGGTGGTGGAGATCAGTCAGAGAGTGCTAGGAGCAGAGCATCCTGACACTCTGACCAGCATGGCCAACCTGGCATCCACATACCTGTGTCAGGGACGGTGAAAGGAGGCGGAAGAGCTGGATGTGCAGGCGGTGGAGATCAAGAAGAGAGTGCTAGGCACAGAGCATCCTGACACCCTGGCCAGCATGGGCAACCTGGCAGCCATATACTGGAGTCAGGAACGGTGGAAGGAGGCGGAAGAGCTGGATGTGCAGGTGGTGGACATTAGTCAGAGAGTGCTAGGCGTGGAGAATCGTGACACCCTAGCCTGCATGGCCAACCTGGCATCTATATACTGGAATCAGGGACGGTTGAAGGAGGCAGAAAAGCTAGATGTGCAGGTGGTAGAGATCAGTCAGAGAGTGCTAGAAGCAGAGCATCCTGACACCCTAGTCTCCATGGCCAACCTGGCATCCACATACCTGTGTCAGGGACGGTGGAAGGAGGCGGAAGAGCTGAATGTGCAGGTGGTGGAGATCAGAAAGAGAGTGCTGGGGGCAGAGCATCCTGACACCCTAGCCAGCATGGACATCCTGGCATCCATATACAGAAGTCAGAGACAGTTGAAGGAGGCGGAAGAGCTGTTGATGCAGGTGATGGAGATCAGTTCAAGAGTACTAGGCACAGAGCATCCTGACACCCTGACTAGCATGGGCAACCTGGCAGCCACATACCAGAGTCAGGGACGGTGGAAGGAGGCGGAAGAGCAGGAGGTGCAGGTGGTGGAGATCAGGAAGAGAGTGCTGGGGGCAGAGCATTCCTCCACCCTAACCAGCATGAACATCCTGGCATCCATATACGGGAGTCAGGGACGGTGAAAGGAGGCGGAAGAGCTGTTGATGCAGGTGATGGAGATTAGTCCGAGAGTGCTTGGGGCAGAGCATCATGACACTCTGACCAGCATGGCCAACCTCTCCTATACCTTGAAATACCTAGGAAGAGTCCAGGATGCCCTAGCTTTGATGAAAATGTGCGTTCAACTTCGCAGCAAACAGCTTGGTCCTGATCACCCAGATACCTTATTTTCCTCTCAGACTCTTAGCGAATGGCAACAGTTGGGCAACTCCTCATCAAACAAGCTCCCACAAGCATCTGATCAGCCAGAAAGTGATCAACTTCCTCCTCAAGTCTCAGAACATCTTGCGGCTGTGTCCATCACTAGTCATCCTAGCGAAGAACATGCAACTGAACCATCTAAATCAGAATCAGAGACTATCAGGCGCTGAGGACGACTGGTTTTCAAACGGCTTTTTCGCAAGAGATAATGGTTTCACACTGCTCAGAAATTGTTTTCAATCATATCATCTACCTTAGCTTTTATAGTTAACTTACAAGATGAAGAATGAAAGATGATAACATAATGGATAATTAGATCTGCAAGGTACCCGCCACATATATTCACTGGGTTGACATAAAATCGTGTGGAAATGTTGTGTAACAAATACTGGTACTGTAAGTAAGGTTAGTTGTGCCGTTGTATGATATTGTAAAAGAAGATAGGCGGAGTAATATTATTCCTAGTCTCATCATAATAGTACCAGCGCCCCTTGGCATAATTCTTGGAACAAAAAGTCAAGAGAGTTCAATTGTCAAGCTGAATTTGCAAGCTACTGTACAGAGTAGTTCTCCATTCTCATCTAGTTGGCCGCCAATCTAGCCGCCCATCAAACCAGTCGCCTGTCAATCTAGTCGCCCGCCCAAACCAGTCGCCCGTCAATCTAGTCGCCCGTCAAACTCGTCACAGTAAACTGATGCCAAGGCGCTAATTGTGCCTGGTATTGTGTGGGCAGGGGACTTATTGTCTGTAGTCATTTCGTGATGTTCCGGACCGGAGTCGAGCTGATCAGCTAGCACACATTGTCCAGAGACAGCCATCTTACCAGCACGAGCTGATATCTCCACCAGCAGAATACAGCTCGAAATCGGTCTGACCTTCAAACATGTGGTGATTGTTTTCCAGATGGTGGTGTTTGTCACGCGGCACCACAAGGGGTTTCATGCATCCAACGACATCTAGGTGATCCACCGGTTGGCTTTGTCGTTGTTTGATCAATCCAAGTATGGCTGCGTTCGAAACGGTCTTCCAAAGAGTAATTTTCCCCGTTGACGGAACCACCACCATATGTACTTGTCGTCGAAAGATTTTACTGTGTCAATGTGGATGCGGATGATCAGGAGGCGGCGATTGAATTTTTGGGACGGAAGGTTGAGGGGCAGGGCATCGAGCACCCCACTGCCAAGGGCCTAGCGCAAGTTGACCATTGAGCGATTCCCAGTTCCCTCTGTACTGTACTGTACTGTACAAAAAACGTATTATCAGCTTAGTTGTGTCCTCCTTAACAATGTCATTTTTAACAAATGCAGAGTTACACAACCTGAAAATGAATTAAGTAGTTTTATGCAATCAAGAATGAACTGTTCTGGATGGTAAAGGAAAGTCATACAGCTATGGTACACGGAATTCGCAGGTATAGCTTACACATATCCTAGAACTTTTCATTGCCACTTTCCAGAAGTGCTACGTTGTCTCTTAATGGAAGGAAAGCCAAGGCCGCGAAAATGACCCAGTCTTGCAGAAGATTATATAATGATCAGTTCTCTCTAACCCTTCTTTCAAGAAAAGATTTAAAAATAAGAGAGAGTTAGAGAGAGATGCAGTGATTCTTGAAACTAGTCTGACACCTTCAAAAATAATTCAACGCAGTACAACATGCTAGATAGAAATAGTAATGAAACAAACTCTGCTATTTCTGCATCCAAGTGCTATAGTACCATCTTTGACATCTGAAGAGGTGGGCCGATAGTCAAAAGGCAGCCATAACTCTTTTTGACCCTGAATAGTAACCCACTGACCAGCCTGTAGGGATAACTCAAATTTTATTTCAGATATTTTGGAAGAATTTGATGAAAAGCCTTGATGCCAGACTTGAATATTATAAGATCCGAGGTTCGTTTGAAGCTGGGGTAGCTTATTTGAGAATTTCATGTTAGTAACATTTCTGTTAGCACTTAGAGTATTCTTCAGGGCGCCAGTAGTAGAATCTCAGAGCTTGATGGTTTCATCATCAGAGCTAGATGCTAGAAGCCAGCCATCTTGTGAGAAGACAACTGACTGAATCCAACCAGAATGGCCCTTCAAGGTATGCTTCAGGGCGCCAGTGGTGGGATCTCAGAGCTTGATGATTTCATCATTAGAGCCAGACACTAGAAGCCAGCCATCTTGTGAGAAGGCAACTGACTGAATGAAATCAGAATGGCTCTCTAAGGTTTGCTTCAGAGCATCAGTGATGAGATCTCAGAGCTTGATGGTTTCATCATCAGAGCTGGATGCTAGAAGCCGGTCATCTTGTGAGAAGACAACTGACTGAATGAAATCAGAATGGCTCTCTAAGGTTTGCTTCAGAGCATCAGTGATGAGATCTCAGAGCTTGATAATTTTATCATAAGAGCTGGACATCAGAAGCCAGCCATCTTGTGAGAAGGCAACTGACTGAATGAAATCAGAATGACCCTTCAAGATATGCTTCAGAGCGTCAGTGATGAGATCTCAAAGCTTGATAGTTTTATCATAAGAGTCAGACACCAGAAGCCGGTTATCTTGTGAGAAGGCAACTGATCAAATTCAACTAGAATGGCTCTTCAAGGTTTGCTTCAGAGTGCTGGTGATGAAATCTCAGAGCTTGATGATTTTATCATCAGAGCTGGATGTCAGAAGCTGGTCATCTTGTGAGAAGGCAACTGACTGAATTCAACCAGAATGGCTCTTCAGAGTCTGCTGCAGCTTACTTCTACTGAGATTTCAGAGCTTGATGATTTTATCATCAGAGCTGGACATCAGAAGCCAGCCATCTTGTGAGAAGGCAACTGATAGAATGGAAGCAGAATGACTCTTCAAGATATACTTCAGAGTGTCAGTGGTGAGATCTCAGAGCTTGATGGTTTTATCATCAGAGTCAGATGTCAGAAGCTGGTCATCTTGTGAGAAGGCAACTGACTGAATTCAACCAGAATGGCTCTTCAAGGTTTGCTTCAGAGCATCAGTGATGGGATCTCAGAGCTTGATAGTTTCATCATAAGAGTCAGACACCAGAAGCCGGCCATCTTGTGAGAAGGCAACTGACTGAATTGAACGAGAATGGCCCTCCAGGGTCTGCTGCAGCTTACTCCTGCTGAGATCCCAGAGCTTGATGGTTTTATCATCAGAGCCAGATGCCAGAAGCTGGCCATCTTGTGAGAAGGCAACTGACTGAATCCAATCAGAATGGCCCTCCAAGATTTGCAATTCTGGACTCCAGATTTCTTCCACTCTTGGGCCTCTAGATAACCAATCAGGGAGCTCTGTCTCAAAATTCCTCCTGATCAGCGCTTTTTGTGGTGCAAAAACCAGGCCAGAGCTGTACAGCTGCAGTGGTGCCGTGTCAACAATGTTTGCAAATTTGAAGATAAATCTGTGGGCATCTGATAGAAAAAAATATACCGCATTATTGGATATATCCTATATTTCGACCAATATTAGTCGGTCAACTGCTTACGAGCATACATGATACTTACCTTGGTCAATTGAAGCAAAGCATCCATAGCATTCATGGTTTCGGATATCAGCCCTAAAATACTCATCGACTCCAGCCAATGAAGATAGTGCTCTTTCAGGAAAAGGAGCACTTGGTTGAGCTTCCTTGCTGGTGCCGAGCTTTGAGTGAGATGGTAAACCCAATAACGACAGGCGTACTGAAGGACAGGCGGTAGGAATCTTGCCATAGTGGTAGGGTCTATCTCAGTTCGGCTTTTCCCATAACTTTCTAACTCGCAAATATTCTTTTTGAGATAATAGCCCATGACACTAAGACATTGTCTAGTTATGAGCTCATGCTTCTCCCCTTTATCGACCCAGAAGTGGGATATTTTCATATCTTTTTTCGTCGCGTCATCCAGCAGATAATCATGAAAGGACGAATGGACGGTCTGTATGGGTAGATTGGGATCGCTAGGTATGGTCAAAACTGAATGAAAGGAGCGTAGCCGGATGCTGATTTTGCATTCCTGCAGCTCAAGTAGTTCTGCAAGAGAACTTAGCGAAAGCGGACTAGCGAGAAGAATGATCACACCGATGATTTTCTGGAACTCTGCAATCAGCTTGTCCCTATCACTTTTATCTTTGACCAGGAGCTGTTTCAAAACTGGCCGGTATGTGTCATCCAGCTTGTATCCCGATGAGGTAGTGAGAAACTCCTGTAGTTGCTCTTGCGGGTCAAAATTACTATCTCCCACAAAACGACATACTGTGGCTGCAAAGATGAAGAGCGGAGCAGCCCTTGTTGCCAAAGTTTCAATTTGTTCCTCGCCAGGCCAGGCTCGAGGAAGATTATGCTCGGGATTTTGTTGTATTTCAGTGAATTTTTCTGTGAGATACAGAGTGATATCATGCTTGGTCAAACCATCATCCACTTTATGCAAGGGAGTGTGTTGATAATGCCTCTCGCCGATTTGTTCAAATTTGAAGTGAATAGGCTGCTCTGGCTGGCTTGTTAAGAACAATTGGATTGGCATACTTGTTGCTGTCACAACCTTGGCTAACAGAGTAAGGATCATGTTCGCGTCTTCCTTTGGTTCACACTCGTCGAGAGCATCAATGACAACCAGAGTGGAAGACACAGCTTGACCCTGATCGACGGCGAGTAGTGGCTGCAATATAAGTTTGTCAAACTGTTCCGGAAGCGTTTTATTGGCAATAGCAGGATCATCCTTTATAGCTCTTCGAATCCCAGTGATCATTTGAGGAATGTGGACGGCTAATTGCTTCACAATTGTTGGGGAAAACTTTGCAGCCGAGCGCCGATCTCCCCTGCCTCTTTTGAAAAAGAAACTCGCGCCAAGAGTGCCATCCTCCTTAAGCGATCGTGCTACTGTCCTTGCAATAGTGGACTTGCCGGTACCTGCCATTCCGCTCAGCCAGAATATGCATCTGTCACTCGACCTCCCCCAATCCTTCACCTGTTGAAGCAGTTCTGTTCGCGTTCCAGGAAGGCATTCGGCCTCATGCTGATCTGTAAAGGAGTCGAAAATTGCACCTGCAGTGAAAGGCAGATTTAACTTGGCAACTTCATCATGCACTGTTTGGATGTCCATCGTTAATTTGTTGATGTGACTCCGGCTGGCGTCTGCTTCGACTTTTCGATGCAGCTGCTGGTCCAAAAGCAGCCAAAGATGCAGGCAGGACTCCTCTTCCTTGATCGAGGTCTTGAGCTGCGCGAGTTGCTTGCTTATTACAGCCATTATGCTTTCCATGATGTCCTTTCTCTTATTCAACAGTTGGACCCTGCGTACTTCAGCGGAGTATCGCAGTATTGCCACATAGACTCGGACGATCGATCCTTCCTTTTCAGCGTTTATTATGACCGACCCACTGCCATCATAAAACTGTTCTTCAATGAAGGCACAACGGGTCAGCAGGTCTGCCAGGTACTCAGAAGAGTTGAAAAGAGCATCCCAAAGGTCTGCATGGTTGCTGGCCATCTAAATAATTAGCTAACCGCTCCGCTCCGTCGGTGGGATGGACATACTGTTAATCCAAGAGACACTATCACCCAAGCACTTGACACATACCCAGTTGGATCAAATTTCACAATATTATTGACAACATCTTGATAGGATAGCGCGGAATTCAGTATCTTGTGGGCTGTTGCTCGAATGCCGACTTCCCTTTTCTGGTACTCCTGGTACTGCATCTTTGTTGTCTTGACTACTTGGTCCACTATGTCCTTGGTCCGTAAACGGCCAGCGTCCGGATGCTCAGTTGCCATCGCTGGGAGAAGTGTTGCCAAAGTGTTCCGGTCGCTCTCGCTTAAGGCGTTGTACACCATCTGCCAATGATCCTTTGCATCATGGTCGTCATTCTCAGAATTGTCCGTCGTGGGATCGACTGAGCCGCTCTTTGTGTCTAGATTAGTGGGGTCATTTGAAGTACTTGGCTCTGGTGCAGCAAGATGTGCATCTTTGTCTCTGCTTCGCCCTCTCAATGCAGTCTTCAAGCGTCCGAGCATGTTGTGCTTCTTTTTCTGGGCTGAACCGATAGAAGTACCGTCCATGGTCGAACCTGCGGAATAGGTTTGTGATGAGATTTAGGCCCAAGAGTGCCTAGTAGACTTGGATAGAAAATCCAAATCAGGCACCAAGAGGAGGGGAAACGACCATGGCCAATTTTATAATCGAAGATCATTGGAGATGCAGGAAGACAGAAATAGTGGCCTTCAGCCAGCCACAGGCTGCAAGGAGCCCAGTTTCTACACACCAAATGTTTTTGCTTCTTCCCCTACTAACATTAGTGGGATATGATACTATGGGAGACTGAACAACATTCGACGTTGAAACCCGTTGACACCGGTATTTGAATGATAAAATAGTTACGTGGTTCGCCATGGCAGGTGCGAAGGGCCAAGGTCGGAACTTTCAGTTCTGGTTTACCAAATTACATCGAAACAAGAGTAAATTACCGCGATTATTTTGCGCTAGCTCGATATAGCTCCAGAGTAGCTGAGGTTCCGAGCCAAAAGGTGGATTTAACTCTCGGACAGGAGGACACGCTCGAGATTTGGCACTTTGTAGCACGTGACGTCAGGTAAAGCCGACTCTCCGCCGGAGTATTTACGATCTTTGTCATCACGCATGGCTGATTGGCCCTGTGCAAGCTTACATAATATCAATTGGCAAGCGTGAGCACAGTACATTCATGTTCGGTACAGTTGGAAAGTTACGGCCGCCGTCATGAGAAGCCGTTGGCTCAATATTATAGTGACACTAAGTTCTTGGCAGTGGGGCGGAAAACATTCATGAAATGTTTGAAGGTCACACTGATTTCGAGAATCACCGTATCGAATGACAAATTGACAACTGAGATTCAATCAATGAGTCTCAAAGTTTATATACATCAGAAGTTAAATATCAAAACAATGTTGGAGTTCCAGTATGGTGCGCCGGAAGTCATGCGAAACAAGGCAACATGGGCTGGTGGATTTGAGCGCATCTTAAGAGATGAACTTTCTCCACCGAACAACAATTTACTGACCAAATGGTACACCGATACTTACAAGGTGATCGCAAGAATTAAGTGAAGCGACATGGGGCGTAGATGGGTTTGAGGATATTTTATCTGAGCCCAATATTTGAATGTGCCAAACCTCTTTGCAGAGCTATACGAGACATTCTTTTCCCGTATGGGTGCAGAGGAATTATCATTGGTACCTCGCAAGACCCAAACGCTCATACATTCCCATTATCAAGGCATACGACGATACGATATCTTTGATTGAGTGTCAAAGTGATTAGGTAACGGAGGTCGCGATTACTTTTGTTGCGATGGAATATTTCGCAGCTGCCATGAAAATCATGATGTACCGCTGTAGATAGCATTTGACCACTTCTCATGGCGCATCGTGGCCCTTCTTGTAATTGGTGGCGGTGTCAAAACTATGCACCGTGGCCATCATGCTTTTACAATGAGAAATAGAATTTTACATAGCAAGTGAGGAAAGATTCCTCACATCATTTGTACAGAAGGGCAACAATGGAGTATCATTAGACGTTTATCCGATGCAAAAATGAGACGAGAACAAGTTGAATCAATACAAGAACAAGTTGCTGCTAAAATGTAAACCGCGCCTTCTTAGAGCGGTTCCTCAAAGGCGGTCTCCCACGCCGCTTAAGGGATCCGTGACTCTCTACCTTCCCCGATTTGGCCTGGAACTCATGGACCAACTCCTCACATCCAGGGATCAGATCATGTTCAGGCTGCCAAGAAGGGTCGTAGCCTCTCCATTTCACCAAGTACCACCGCATCCCTTGGTCATCATCCCCCGCCAAGATCTCATCAACCAACCACTCCTCTGTTGTCACTCCGCCATCTTCAATCAACATTGGCGGCGGTGGGGTCCGACCCTCAGAGCCGGACTCGTCATCACTCCTGACACTGGGTGCCAAGCTGCATGTACTTGGCGCGGTTTGGGAAATTGGGATCCTATCATCGTCGCTCAGATCCCGGACACCATCATCAATGGCGATGGATGTGTCTAACATTCGTAAGAACCCACGCGAGAATGGAGTGGATGGCGGGAAACTAAAGAAATTGAGGAGGAAAGGGACGTACCTTTGCTGCCTGCAGCACTCTGGACTCGGGGCTTAGACACCACATCACTTCGTTTGTAAAACAGCCCCGGCATATTTTTGCTCGAGTTGGTATCCATCACAACACTTTCGCTGTCACTGGAAGAGCCGCTGCACTTTGGGGTAAAACTGGTGTTGCTCTCCTCATCATCTTCATAGTCGCGGGACCGTTTATTTGTAGCGATGGACATCGATGTATCCGGTGGATCGGAATCGTCGACATAGAAGAGACTACGCAGCGAATCCCAATCATTGTCGCCTGTATCGATACGCAAATCTAGGTTCTGGTTCTGAATGTCTGTTGCCTTCACATTTGAGCTAGTTACTTGACTTTCACGTATCTTAGGAGGCTCTTTGTTGACCGGTTTCTTGTTCTTATCGATTCGCTTTCCGATCGCAGGTTGCTGGGCATGGGAAACCGGCGTCCGCTGAAATTTTGTGCCTGGTGCCGTGGCGTTTGGATTGAAATGGAAGAACGACATGGGGCGGCGATTTAGTCGGCGATACGGAATAGTGAAATGGTGTAAGCAGTGCTTTTGGAAGGATTGTAGGAGGCTCGAGTCGTTTTGGGAGGGAAGAGAAATTCAACTTTCCAGACCTTCAGGGTGGGGAAGACGCACGCTGAAATAGCTCTCCAACCTTTGGAACCGAAGTCTCAGCGAGGCCTCACAGCTGACTTATCCTAGATAGGAAATGCCAGCGGCGCAGAAATTTTGGCACAGATGGATAAATTAAGAACCACTCGTTCGTTGGACTTCGTATTCAAATGTAACACCCAGAGGGCCCTGGTGCATTGCCAGCGAAGCAAGATCGATAGCCCTGCTTTAACCCCCGGCTAACACGGCCCATCTGAAATCGTCGGTTGGCACAATACAAATATCCAACTTACAGCATCAATGGTTGAGCTCGTGGCGAGCTGAAAGACGGGCGCAGTCTGAGCACCTGCAGGGGATGGAAGATGGACCAAGGATAGCGATTTTGACCCAGAGGGCAGCTACGCAGTAGTGTAGTTATCATCATGGAGCGGGCGAAAATTTACGCCGGATCAGGCTACCGCTCGCAGCCTTTCAACTCCCCCCCACCTTGAACGAGCCCAATATCCCGCATCCCAGAAGCTGACCAAATCCCGGTGAATTAAGGGGGAAATTGTGCGTCGCCCATCGTCTTGCGATACCAGCCGGCATATTCCGCAGCGAGTGCAGGCGAATCGCAGCCTCTCTCGCTTCTTATTTCCCAGACCGTAGCATCAACCGACGGCGTTCTTGACCTGCTTGTCATGTGTTCCCCGGCGCTCCAACGCACTTCCCTGTCGCATAAGCAGGAATCTCCAATAGTCAAACAAATCCCTCGATTCATCCAGCTGAGACATGCAGCGTATGCAGCGTAAAGGTGGGTGACTCCGACATCACATCGCAATTTCACACAATCCCCTCCCCCTCCCTTGATTCTAGCGCCAGGATAACAGGGCTGGATCCCAATCTCCGATGGAGGCCTTCATTGTCGTTGATTCGGCGTTGTACTACTGGCCAGGAGGCAACCGTAGCGTGACCAAAAATCCGCCCGCGCCGCCGGAGTGATGTCCACGTCACCCCATCGGCCACGCCGCGAGGGTTGGATATGCAGAGAAATTTCTTTCCTTCACCGTGACACGCCACCATGCCCCTACCACTAGAGAAAGGGAGAAAACCCCGCTGGGCAGGGGCGCAAGGCCGGGCCTAGCCACCAGGGAACGCATGTCAAGGGAACAGAGAGAGAGCCCGACAGGACCTGTACGGCGGAAAGGACAAACACGCCCTGCACTACACGGAGTACACGGCCAGATATCGAGTTTGATTGAATGGCCTGATGACAGAGAGACCGTAAAGAGAGTAAAGGCGGAGGAATGTAAAGAGCGTAGTATGGGACCTTGAGAGGAAGGGTGGGAAATTCTACGGAAGATGGGTGTAGTGTAGAGAGCACGGGGTGAGGGGGAGAGCAACGGGAAGATTCCAGGGCCCGGACGCACGTTGATGACCTAGGTTGGCTTGAGTGGGAGCGAGGGCGAGCGAGGGCGAGCGTGGGTGAGCGTTGGTGAGCGTTGGCGAGCGTGGTTGAATGAGGGCGAGGGTAGAACGACAGCGGAGCGAGGTCGTTAGAACGGCAAGAGGTGCGGGTTTATATAGACGTTGCGGTTTAGCTGGGGTCGGCGGCGCGGACCGCAAGCGCAGAAAGGGACGGCCGGTTTCCGCATCGGGAAGGGCCGTTTCCCGCCCGGGCGGCCCTCAAAGGTGGATAACAATGTTTATTGATATAAAAGATGCATTTGATTGTGTTTCACTTTCTTAAATGATCAAAACTGTAATGCACTCGCTTATTATTTCCTTATTATATTATCTTTGCTTATTCTTACCTCTTTCCATTATATTCTCGCTACCGCTATTTTTATATATATATATATATGAATGTATGTATTTTGCACATCTTCTTTTCTCTTTCTTTTCCTTCTTAGCGATTAGCTACAACTACTATCATTATTATTACTACAATTACTAGTGTTATTATCATCCACTACGCTATCTACTATCTTTCACTATTCACTCTTCACACTGTCATCGCCCCTCACAAAAACTTTGATAGAACTGAAAATGCCAAAGTCTCTCATTAGCCAAGCAAGCCAGGGGTTATTAGAGTTTGATATCATGTGGGTGGCTGATCTGTAGGAGGATAATGTTCGTTCTTTGTTATTAAACTAACTACGCGAGAGCAATACAATATGTTGGGGGGCACGTGATAGGGTAGCCGTAGTACCCACGCGGCTCTGTTTGAGCCGAGGCGGGCTTAGCGCCGTGTGCCTGAAACATCCACCCTGGCCTCAATATCAAACACTGTTTTTGGTCCATCACGAACGCTCCGGCTTTCTTCACCCACTGAGGTCCTCTCTACCCCTTATCCACCTCAGTCTGCCCTTCGCACCGTGCGTCAGTTTTGCTCTGTCTGGTAGCGACCTGTCTTCGACCTCCCTAACCTTGACGATCACATCACCCTTTCCCATCGTCGATCCGCTCAATGGCCTCCCCTGCCGTCTCTCCCTCCTTGAGTATCCGTCTGACCGCATCTTAAATCTTAATTATCCGGACCCTATCGCACCTCAACTATTTACTGCAAAGGCCATTGTGCCGTCCATTTCCGTTCTCTCATTCCCATGGGAAAACCTTCCACTCGTTTTGCGAATATCCAAATCTTTCAACCTCGACATACAAAGTTGTATATATACAAAGGTCCCACCACAAGCCGATCGATACCCAAATCATCGCAAATTCTTTAGGAACTTGCTAGCGCAATTTCTATACGGTCTTGGTACCGCCAGGAAAACAGTCGATTGATACCTATCTCATACTTTCGCATCAGCCTATGCTGAATAGTTGTCTGCGTGCGGTTTTATTTATCGGTGTTAGCATTGAGGTACTCTAAGTGGCAGGAGCGTCTAGCTCCTGATATTTATTACAATGGTTTCGGACAAGTCAGTTTCCCAAGCTTTTCCGGTGTTTTATGACAGCGCATAGTGAGAGAGACCGCTTGGGCTAATATCGTGCTCGGCTTGATAGATATATCGGATTGGCGCTTGCCATTCTGTCAACCATGGCTATTGGTAAGAAAGCTATTACTCCTGCTTATGACCAAATTTGTACTCACTGGTTCTTGCTTTATAGGTAGTAGTTTCGTAATCACTAAAAAGGTATGTTATTGCTGCGTTTCGTTAATTTCGACCAGCGCATTCAAAACCTGATTATGTTCAAATTCCCACATTGTGTATCTAACATTTGTGTCCCACAGGGCCTAATGGATGCTTCTAATAGACATGGATTTGAGGGAGATGGGTTTTCATACTTAAAGAGTCCGATCTGGTGGGGCGGAATCACAACATGTACGCATGTCTTCCTTTTTAGCCAAGCAATCCATATCACACTGACACTGGAAGCAAATTAGTGGTTCTCGGAGAAATCGCAAATTTTGCAGCATATGCCTTTGCGCCTGCGATTTTAGTTACCCCATTGGGGGCGCTCAGCGTTCTTATCGGGTATGACTGTCTGGTGTTGGGCTCCCTAGCAATTTAGGATACTAATATTGTTCAGTGCTGTGCTAGGGGCATATTTTCTAGGAGAGCGATTGGGAGTACTCGGAAAGCTTGGTTGTGCTTTGTCATTACTTGGCTCTGTCATAATCGTTCTCCATGCGCCTCCAGATGAAGAAATTGAAACCGTAGATGAAATTCTAGAGTATGCAATCCAACCAGGTAGGCATCTTCTTGTCCATAAGCAAATTTATTCAACGACGCTAAGTATCGACGCAGGTTTCCTTCTTTATTGCGTGGTGGTTGCCGTATTTTCAACTGTCATGATTTATCGAGTGGCCCCGAGATATGGGAAAAAAAACCCACTCATATACATCTCAATTTGCTCGACCGTCGGCTCTGTTTCTGTTATGTCTGTCAAGGCATTTGGAATTGCGCTGAAGCTCACTCTGGCTGGCCACAACCAGTTCTCACATCCATCTACTTACGCTTTTGCTATTGTTGTTGTATGTTGCATCTTGACACAGATGAACTATTTCAACAAGGCTCTAAGTCAATTTTCGACCTCGATGTAAGTTTGAAAAGCTCATTGTATGGTGTTAATTCATATGCTGATCCTCTTTGATAGAGTGAATCCCTTATATTATGTCACATTTACGACAGCAACGCTATGCGCCTCTTTCATCCTCTTCCATGGCTTCAACACCACTGACCCTGTCAACACTATATCCCTTCTCTGTGGCTTCCTTGTTATCTTCGCCGGGGTTTACCTACTGAACTTGTCCAGGAGTGACCCAGATGGCATTTCACTTGCTGGAAAAACCAACGAGGACGACGGTGTCCCTACCGATGGAATTGCGTCAATTCAAACCCGCTTATCATTGCAAAATCGAAGGAGTATGGACCGACATCGACGGAGCTCGTCGAGCATTGAGTATTACGGAGGTCCCAGTGACCGTGAAGGACTCATGCGTTCGTATGATGTTGAATCAGCAGCTTTCGGCCTACAGGATCTTGCGGAAGAGAGTGATGACGGACATCAAGACGACTCGACGCAGAAACGGAACGGCTCTGCGCACCTTCCAACATCACCAAAGGTTCCCGGCTCATGAAACAAAAATATCTTGGAATTTCTCCTATCGTCTTCTCCTTCGATTACGTGCTTTCCGTTCCTTCCCAGATTCGTCGACTTATTTTCCCGCCTCCAACCAAACTATATCACACATATTCTTTTTTTTACCTCCCCTCAGATATATAAGGGGGTTTGCCCATGAATAATGGAAACGATCATAAAAAGTACACATCGAATTTTGTGATGATCCATTTCCTTCCTCCACTCCCTTAACATGGTCATACGGGTCGGGTTGGACTCGAACGATCAAATAGCAACAACAGCTATGATGCGGGGTTATATTTCATTCTTCTTCTCTTTTTTTTTTCATATTTATTTGTTTTCTTTCTCCTTACCATTCAGTCGAGCTTGGGCGGGACATGGACATATTGATCATACGGGTTATGTTAAGGCTAGGTCAAGCTACGTTTGTTGGGTTTAGGGTAGGTAATGAATCTCTCCCTCACTTGCATTGTATAAAAACAGGGGGGTATTAAGGCGTTTGTGCTCCTATGCTTTACTTTACTTTTACTTTTTTTCCCCATTTTCCTGCATTCCCGTGAGGGATTCGCATGAAATCTAGATCTCATTTTTCTCAGTATCTTTGGTTTTATCTCCTTATCCTTCTTGCAGCTTTACTTGGCCATTTTCTGTGCGCGGTGATACTCATTTTCGTCTTGATTTTCCTTTTCTTTACTCTCTTACTTTCACGGCATCAAAGCATCCGGTTTTGGATCGGAAGCCAAGGCAAAGAACTGAACAGCAAATTCCCAGTGACAACGGGAATCTAAATAGTCACCGTACACAAACGGAAACAGATATATAACTGACGGAGCGACAAAGCGATTCATATTTGATGGAAGCCAGTTTTTTTCAGATTTCATCTCCATTTTCCCTTTCAACTCATCCTCTCCTTTCTTCTCCGCTTCATCTTGAGTAAATATTTATCCTCCCCATACTCCTAGAGTAATTACATATTTCACCACAAATTTGGCCAGAATCTCTTCAACAATTGCCCTCCGCCCTTCTTTCCATGCCCAACAAGGTTCATATGCCGGTATTCACGTGTCTATGCTTACCCATAAAGGGAAGATATTGTAGGTATGTCTGCCTTCTCAATTCTTAGTGTTGCTTCCTTTACGATTTTTCCATTTTACTTATTTATTACGAAGATGCTTTGTTCATCTTCTCTCACACATTTTCTCTCTCTTGGTAGTTCTAAGATGTCTTCCCAGTTAATGAGTACCCCTAAGTTTTGCATCGTTCTGCCACCTTTTTTGCAGGTTCCTGGGATCATGTATTCTTTCACTTATGCATGGAGATGGGACAGAGAATGCGATAATTGCTGGTTGAATTTGAGGGGTAAAGATAGGGATGTGAAATATTACATCTACAGTCCAGCCATCGATTGTTGGTCGCAAATCCAAATTGCGAAACCCCCTACTAAAACAACTCAGGTTACTGAACTAACTGACAAACAGAAGGGTTCCGCAAACCAATGTTGTCTGGAGCAAACATCTGACTGCTGGGCAAAAAAAAAAAAAAAAAAAAAAAAAAAAAAAAAAAAAACTGGTTCGCAAACTGTATCTAGGCTAACATCCTTCCAAGCTGCTCCCTTTCAGATGGCATGATGACCAGTTGCTCCCCAGTCATAGATCGTCAACCTCAATCAAAAAGCTCTTCCCCCTCAGCAGCTCATCTCCATCTATCTCCCTTGCCACCGTCTGCACGCCGTGGACGAACTGTAGACGCTTCTCGTAGTGATTCCCAGTCCAATCAATAATTCGGGAAAGAGTGTATAGTGCGTTCTGTCTTCAAAAATTCTCCCACCTCCCTCCCTCTCTCTCTCTCTATTTCCTTTCTGTTTTAAAGCAACGATAGTTTCTCACCAAATATTTATCTTTAGTAATGATCTTCTTGTACCTGCATAATGTGGGACGTCTAAGTGGTTGTATTAGCATGTCAGCAGCATAACCATATGTGCGGTGCGCTAGTCCGTGATAGGCAGCCTAGGGCCAACAGATAACCAGCATAAAATATCATCTGATTCAAACTCTAAGACCAATTGACTTCATTGTAGAGTGGAAATAAGACCATTAACTTTCTCAACGAAGTGATGAAGAATCAGATATTCTATTCCTGCGGCCATAAGAAAAGATAATGCCGGGGCTGGCCAGGAAGCTTTTGATTTTTGCTGCTGTGGATGGGCTCATTCTTCAGCCTTACAGTTCATCACAGCGCGGGGCTCCGAGCAACCCGCCCTCTGCTCTACGGATTGAGTACAAAACTCGCCGTATAGACTCGGCGCCATCTTCCTCGAATTCCGATGATGCTTGCTTGGAGTCTCATGGAGTAATTGGTTTGTTGTATCATCCTGGCCCCAGATTGATTATTAGGAATCTGACAATCTTTCCTCCATCAAACAGGCTTGCTCTCTCTTTCATCATTCTCATTCTTAATATCCATTACCCAACGCCAGCAGGTGGCTCAGATCCTTGGAAAGCCTATTTTTGCGATTACAAGTGTAGCTATCATTCCTCTTTCCTCTCAGGCTGAGGCAACCAAAGCGATCAATCAGGCCCATGCCCAGTTAGCTTCCAACAAGGATAAAGCTACCCAGAATGATATCGAGACCCAGTCTTTGGAGAGTGACTCCGATCTGTCCACCGGCCGCAGTAGCGAGGATATCGATCTAGAAGGCTTGGATTCGACAGATCGAGGAATATATCCCCCGTTGGGCAGTAAGGGTAGAAAGGGAAGCACTATTGCCGAGGACGTTATTGAAAAGCGGGGACGGTACGGCAGGTTCACTTCCCGCTGGTTTTCCAAACATGGGTGGGCGGGAGAGAACAGCCCTCAGAATAGGGGATTTCAAGAGATAATGGATCCTGCTGCAGAAGGGTCCATCGGAGGAAGGAAGAGTGGGGATTATGTCGATGAAATCCTGGAACTTGATGACCTTTCACCCACTGGACAGAAAGCTTCTTCTGATCCCCAAGGAATTGCCACGCCAGCCACAGGAACGGCAACATGCGAGTTAATGCCCAAATTTCTGCGTTATGCGAAGATGATGTTCAGTTCAAACAGTTTTTATTTTTCTTATGATTATGACATTACTCGAAAGTTTGGTGCCTACGACCCTCAAATGTCGCCAGTACCACTGCACAGGATGGCAGATCCCTTGGTATGAACCTTTCTTCTAAGTATTCACTGCATGTCGAACGTCACTAATTTGATTCAGTATTTTTGGAACCGATATTTGATGAGTCCTTTCATTGAGAGCGGATACCACTCGTTGGTCCTTCCGCTGATACAGGGCTTTGTTGGACAGAAGGAGTTTACTGTTACTAAGTCCACCAAATCGCCAGCCGCTCAGGATGCCACTATTACCCTAGTAGCTGATGTCGATAATAACGTACCAGATGTGTATGCTGAGAATGAGGGCGAATACGATAAATTTCTTCTTACTTTAATTTCACGACGATCAGTAAAACGCCCGGGGCTTCGATATCTTCGAAGAGGAGTGGATGATGAAGGCAATGCCGCAAACTCTGTGGAGACAGAGCAAATTTTATCTAGGCCGTCGTGGAACCCAGCGGACAAGATATATTCGCTGCTCCAGGTTCGTGGATCAATACCGCTTTACTTCTCCCAGTCTCCTTACTACTTCAAACCCATACCTGTTCTCCGCCATTCCATCGAAACCAATCAAGCGTCGTTCGCACGGCATTTCCGCGACCTTAGCAGGCGGTATGGCGAAATTCAAGCCATTAGCCTCTTGGATAAACACGGGGTGGAAGTTAAAATTGGAGAGACATACGAAAGTTTCGTGGACATATATAATAATCGCAACAATGCGGACTCACACAAAATTGGATTCGACTGGTTTGACTTTCATGCGGAATGTCGTGGAATGAAATTCGAAAACATCCAGCGCTTAGTTGATTCCATATCGGGGACACTAGACCGATTTGGAAGCACCGTCATACAGGATAATATTGTGATGAAAAGTCAGTCCGGTATCATCAGGACAAATTGTATGGACTGTTTGGATCGTACTGGTGTTGCACAATGTGCGTTTGGACAACGAGCATTAGAAAAGCAACTCGAGAGCGAGGGCTACTCTATCGACCTGCGGACTAGCACATCTACACAATGGTTCAACGTTTTATGGGCTGACAATGGGGATGCCATATCGAAACAGTACTCCTCAACAGCTGCCCTTAAAGGAGATTATACCAGAACTAGAAAACGGGATGTTCGCGGAGCGCTCAACGACCTCGGACTAACCCTCTCGCGCTACTTCAACAATATTGTCAACGATTACTTCTCCCAAGCTTGTATCGACTACCTAACTGGAAATGTCACAACCCGTGTTTTCGACGAGTTCGAGATGAACCTCCCCTAGTCACGTTCCAGGGATATCAATCGAAAAAGTA